GTGTCACGATCTACCGTTTTCTTAGCTGTGTGTTCTGGCATTTCTCTAGTTTAAGTTTGTTTTGAGTTTTTTTAGTTTTGTTATATTTTGAGTATTAAATTAAAGCCTTTTTTGAGTTCACGTCTGTCTCCGGAGTCTGCACCTTGGGTCCTATTCCTGCCTGCACACAGCCACACCTAACAATACCAAGTAATGGCACAGATGCCAACGCTCACACATTTAAGATACTTGATGACTAATCACGTTCACTCATATCACAACTGTTGGTTATTGCACATTGAAATTCTGAAATAATATACTCTAATCTTTCATAGCACGTAAAGCTCTTTATTGATTATACTGTACTTGCAATATACCACCATTGTCTTGTAAACTCGTTTTTCTTACTTTAGTATTGCATGTCTGACCCGGATCTGTGCTGAGTACCAGAGAAAAGCAAGGGTTGCAGTTCAGCAGTCATTTAAAAAAAAAAAAACTCTTTTCATTTGATTTTATTTTTGTCTCGATTGGCTTGACATTTGCCACGGACATTCATGCTCTCAAGTGGCAGAGGGTGATTGATTTTTGGGTGACCCTATGACTTCCCTTCTGACTAAAGCCTCCAAGACACAAAACGACCTCTCAAAGTGTCTTAAAATCTTCAAAAGTAGCCCCGAGACCGGCATTAAATTCCATCTGCACATTCACATTCCCAACAGGACCAGGCTTATTGATTTCCTACGATTCATGTGACCTTTGCTCGACGACAATATCAGGCCAAACTTTCAATTTTCAGTTTACTGACCCTGAGGAACCACTGATACAAGACTAGAAATACCTACTGTAAGGCCGCTATCAAGACAACCTTCTAGTTTTAAAACTCTTAAATCTTCTAGTCTTTTCCTTTTGTTTTGCCATTTACTAGCACTGACCCAACACGCACTCCCACAGTGGTCAAGAAGCTGTATTATAGAGTGCTGCACAAGTACTTAGTGAATTATTCAGGCTAGACCTTTTAATATGAAAAATAAAAGTACGACTTTCAGATCTTTCCGTGAGCTTTTTTATACCATTTGGGAAAATTTTGTTCCAAAGGCTATTTGAATGTTGGTGGATTTATTGGCAATAAATCAAGACAGTCAGACAATACCAGCATTCACTCTGCCAATATGATTCAGACACTGAATTTGTGATTCCTTCAGGTTGTTTTTTTTTTATTACACCATATGACTTCATATAGCAAGTGTGTTTCCAACAAAACATGATATCTAGAAAGCTGTACTTTTCATGAAAATGTGTAGTTTTCGTGCAGTGTAGAGGAAGTAACTGATTTTTTAAAATGTTGTTGTATTGCGGAATCACAGCGCCCTTGAATAATCACTCGTCGGATTAATCTCCACAGTCAATTGCAATCAGGCTGTGTGAACGTAAGTGGTGCAAAGTACTGTGTATTAGCTTTCCGCACACTATTCACACAACATATATGTTGGTAATAGTGTTAATCATGTTAACATGGATATTAAGTGTGCCAGTCCCTTTGTTACTGTTAGCACAGTCACATATAGTCACATAGAAAGACTTTGGTCCCAACAGAACTGGGAGTTTATTGTTATATGTGTAAGGTGCAGAGTTAGATTGTTGTACTAGAAATTACACCAACTCTAATATTGGACACATATGAGTATCAAATTTGAAATACTGACACATTTTACTTTCTTATATTCATATTTTTGAACACTTGGAAATTTAAATCATAATAAATTGTATAAAATGTAGAACTGAACAACTAACTTGAACTTTCCTTTGCTCAGAAAATGTGAAATAATAATAATTTCTTTCAGCAGTCTTCAGGAATAGTTCTCCAGGCTTCTTGAATGACATTCAAAGCTCTTCTTTGGCTCCCTTTTGTTCTGTTCCCTGTCAAGAGGATCCCACATGACTTTAATAACGTTGAGATCCAGGCTCTGAGGAGGCCAATCCATGACTGATAATGTTCCACTGTGTGTTTTTCTATCCAGGTATAATATTAATGCAACGGCAGTGTGTTTGGGATCATTGTCATGTTAAAAAATGAAGTCAGTCAGTCGTTTCCAGATGGTATTGCATGGTGGATCCAAATCTGACTGTACATTTCTGTGTAATTATGTTTCCAATTCATTGTTTCTGTAAATAATATTTGAATCCCTGAACATTACTGACTGAAATGCAGCTCCAACCCATCATAGTGCCTCTGTTGACAATGATTTGAACCCAAAATTTCAAATGTGGATTAATTGCTCCATGAGACTTGTTGGCACTGATTTTCAGTCCAGTTGCTGTGTAATTTGGCATATCTCAGGCTTGTCTCCCTGTTTCCCTTTCTTAAGAAAGGCTTCTTGACAGCCACTCTTCCACTGAGACTATTTCTGATGAGGCTAACAGTAAACGGATCAACTGAAGGTCCAGTAGCATCTCTCATGTCCTGTGTCAACTCTTTGCTGTCTTTTTCCCACCTTTTTCTTAAGGACATTGCTTTCACATACTGTTCATTTGCAACAGATAACGTTTTAGGTCTGCTACTTTTTCTTCTATACTTCACTTGCCCGGTTTCTGAGGTGCTGTGCCGAAATATGCCAAGTTTTCAGCTAATATCTCTTTGAATGAGTAAAAAGCAGCCCGTGACCAAAGATAAACTTTGACAGACCTTCAGAAACCCTGGAGAACTACTGCTCAAGAGCAATAAAACCTGACTCCTTGGAAGCAAAATATAAGGACATAAGGGATGATTTGTGACTTTTGCAAAGCTTTGTACATCAAATGCTGAATTGGTCCAAAAAACAGTTAAATGCAGCTAAAATAATCCTTTTTCAGAGTATTGAGAAAAGAGATCTGAATCCATTTATGACAGATTTAACTAGGCTGTCTCAAACAATGACTAATGCTGAAGGCCTGTGACAGGCAGGTATAAAAATATAAAATGCTGAAGCTGCTTAACACTGAGCTAAGATGTTTTTTTCCACCTCTCTTCCTTTCTATCTTGTTTCAATCTCTTGTCTTTCTCAGCATTTGGCTGAGTCAGACCTCCCACATAAAAGTGGCTTATTGTCAGAGTAAGAGGGGAGTTACAGGGTGGATAAGCAGGGAGGTGGAAGTAAAGATATAAATGGTGAAGGGATTTAGTCAGTATCAGCTCCCTGAAAGCAGCTTGTATCCCTCTCCCCGTTGGTGAAATGACTTCTTACAGACTGACCCTGTTCTTTCCTGCTCTCCTCTGAGGTCTTGATCCATAAAAATAAAAGCAATTCTGGAGAGGGCAGAAATAGTATTAAGAGGCTTTCTTGACCAGCCAGTGCCTAATAGTTGCTTTTCCTTTGCAACAATGTGGAAAACAATGCAAATTACAGCACTGCTACATTTCTGTTGTGCTGCTAGATCTGAGTCACAATTAACAGATGACAAGTTCTTTTCTCGTGTCTACTAAATGTTCTGCATTTTGAGTTAAAATCACATCATCTTGTGAAGTAATAAAAGCACAGAGTATACTGTTCATTACACTTAAATGCATATTAGACAAATATCTAGCTTTTCCATGAACTTGTGTGGGTGGCAGCATGAAGTATTCATGCATAAGTGTGTGGGTGAGCTGTATGTGGTTAACAAGCTAGCAGTGCATGGGAGTCATATTTAATTAGAAGCATAAACTGCCCTGTTGATTGGACTCTCACACAAATGCTTTGGATTGACTGAAAACCGTTCCAACAATTCGCTGAATTGTTTATAATTAGTGCAGCATATAAAAAAAATGCAGAGAAAACATGAATTATTAAAACAAATACATCCCCGGGCTCCAGCCATGGTAGGCATGGGCCTCACGGTAACTTCAATATATCTAATATGAATGAGCGCAATATTACTCTTCCTTTATAGTGTATTTTATGCATTTTAGAGACTGTGTGTTTGCTCAAGGGCACTTAAACAAATACACTTCTGCACCTGTGATTCACGTTCGGTTCGCTGAGGTCAGGTGTTCCTCAAAAGTAATAATTTTAAGGGCCAAGTTTAACTGCCTCAGACAAAATCGCTGGGCTGTGTGTGTTTGTCTCCCAGACCAACTTTTTTCAGGTAATAACCTTCTGTGAAAGTTTTGCTGTGATTTATCTGTAATTTCCTGTTGTTTGCCCCATGAAAGCAGTTGGAAAGCTGTTTTCTGCTGTCTTTTCTCCACTTAAATGTCGGTTTATAGGCAGGGTAGGTTAACCCCTCATGCCCCTCTGTCTCTCTTGTTACAGCATCTATTAAGTCGGGTAGCACTTTGGCAGGAGAAGGCATAGACTGGTAAAGAGGGCCAGCTCCATCCTGGCCAGCCCCTAGACTCCATAGAGGTGATGGGTGAGAGGATACTAGCCAAGATAATGTCCATTACAGACATTACCTCTCACCCTCTCCCAAATGCCACCCAGCGAAGGCTCTGATCTGGCTCACTGGACAGCTTTGAAAAATTTGAGGGAGGCCATAACTTTTTTACTTTAAAATGTATTTTGAAAAGTTTTACAGCTCTTCCTAGTGATAAAGAAATCCCTTGTTTTCATTAATAATACACCAAACTAACAAATAAGCAAATAAATAACAGAAAGATTCATGTTTTTAAAAAATCTATATAAATTTCTGGGTTTTTTCTAACAGTAATTTAAACAAGATCCTTTTCTATTAAATAACCCCCCCCCAAAAAAAAGTGTTATAATCACAGTTTAATCTGAGAAATTAGATAATTTTACACATTTATTTCTTACAATTTATGCACAAATAGTTATTTCATTTACAGGAGCAGGATTTCTCTGTTCTGCAGACAAACTTAATTGTACTGTTGAAATTGCACTTCTTTTTAAGTGTGCATTTAAAGTTTATGTGAGTTTGCTTTGTTTTTGGGACTTTAGCTCTGGCCCTACACGGCAGCCAGGCCTTCTTCCATGTATGTAGGGCCTAGTTGTCAGGGCAGCCAGCAAGCGGCGCCTCAGCCCCAGCTGAACTGTCGGTGCGGCTATCGCTGGAAGTGTCCACATAGGATCGAGTTACTCTACGCCCCATCTTTAAGCCCCAGTCAGTGCGCCGTTAGCCGCAGGACAACAGAGGATAGCTCAAGATCCTGGCCGCCGGGAAAGCAGAGCGTCCACACTCATGTAAGTGACTCTCTTTAAACGGGATTCGCTTAAGGAAACGTTACTGAAGTCTTCGGTGTGTACTACAGCTTTTCTCAAGCTAGACACCCCCTTTGTTAGCTTTAATGTCGCTAATTAGAGGAAAACATTGTGAGACGTCTTCTGTAGCGGTTGGTCACATAATCACACCAGACTGCCTTTAAATAGATCCAAGAGGCTTTTTTTTCCAAGTAAAAGTGTTTATATATACTGCAAGAAGCCAGCTTGGGCGATTTTCTGTGGCCATACAGAGCCCTGATAGTGTGTAACTTCTTTCCCGTCCCCGCGTCGGGAAGCCTGTTGCTTTCTTGCTAGATGAGATGGGGAAAGAGGAGGAGGAGGAGGGGTTGAGAAAATCGGATTGTCCCGAGTGCCTTGTCGACTGTATTCAAAACACCACCGAACCTGGGCAGGATATACCAGCTTTAAACAAATACGACGTACTAAACGCTTTATTAAGCAAGAAATAACACGGGTATAGTGCTAATTTCTTTGATTTTTGGTGGGTAGGAACTCCGCGATAAAATAACTGCGTTTTCTTATTAGCTAACTATACTCGCCACAAACCTCACTAATGATTATTTTCGCAAGGAAATGCTACCCGCGGAGCTAAACGACTTTTTTGGAGGCTGATATCTAGTGTGTAATAGCGGCTAATGAGCTCCTCCGGCCTTCTGTGATTCATTACATACCACTATAGTGTGTGCATCCTTAAGCGATTCACTTAAGGAATGGTAAAGCTACTTTCAGACACTGAACCACATATGTCATTGAAAAACCCCCCACATATAGTATACTACTGTTGCCACAAGTGACTGTAAGGTGCGTGTGAAGGCAGATTTATTACATAAATACACCACTACATGAGTGAAATACACGGCTAACATACTAGCTCATCACTCAGCATAAAAGGTAGGACACATGCAGTAATGAGTGAAGCAAATGCATAAACAAACCAGAGCTGTGGTGATCCTTTTGCCACAGATACTGCAGCTATTCTGAGAGTCTATACAGGGCTTTTAATTGTCTGAGCAATCTCCTTTAATCGTGTAACGTCTCCCTGAGTCATATCATGCTTGCTTACAAAGCCACTCTCTGCAGCCAAGTGCCATGTTCCCTGCATGGGCTCTGTTAGCAAGCACCCCTTAAAAGAATTAGGTAAATATAAACAACATGATCACCTTCATCATGCATTACTGTTAGCTTTTAAAGCTTTAAAGGTACTGAGAGTCTTTATGAGCTTATTGGCACTGTCTTTTTTTTTTTTACACAGTAGAGGAGTCACTGCTCCTTCTCTTGCCTTTCTGATCTGATTGCATGCACTTTGAAGGTAACAGTTTTTTTTCCAAGGCAGCATTTGGAGTCAGTTTCACAAAGATATATTTTTTTGACAGATTCGATAGAACAAATAGCCAGACTTCACATAGATGTTTGAATCCACCCATTGTGCAAAATGAGACTTTGATTTCAAGCACAATGGTACAATGAAATATTGGTAAATTAAGACTTTTTCCAGGTAAAATAGTCAGAAAATATGTGTCTGAAAGGAACAGTGAGCAGGATGACACCAGTCAATAGCAAGGGTGATTTACTGAAGCAGCTTTTAGGGAATTTAAAATAATAACTATAAATTCCTGAGCTGATTACTTCATAATCAGGTATCCCTTTAGGTATTTTTTTGTGCAGAATATAAGCGCTTTTTTCCTCTTTTGCTGTGTGTTACCATAGACATTATAAAAGCCAGTGGTAACCATCATAATGTTGTTGTTCAATGATAATGAAAAGGCAAATGACAATTAAACACACCAGCACTGTCACTAAAACCTGACATTAATGTTGCCATAAGACCAGCTCACTGTGCTATAATATCAATCTACGATTGATTGGGGTCAGTTTGACAATTACATGTAATCTGTCTGCATAACTATTACATTTACACTCAGCAGCCTTCCGGCTCTACGGGAATATAACCAGAATACAAACAACTGGCAGCCAGTGGAGTTGAGTCCTCTCGCGTTGTGCTCATTGACAAAGACTCAATCTATCTGTAAATTAGACAGCAATTATTTGCAAACCTTTTGACAATCTCCCTGAGAGCGATTGCAGTCATTCCAAGTCAGTCTGCAACTATTTGCAGAAAGGTTACCTCGTATCAGGTGACCTGTGCTATCACCTTACCTTACCCTCAAGCTCTGGACAATCACAAGTTTGGTCAAGCCAGTGTAAAGTAAGTTTGCACACTTACCATTATCTCAGATTGGTGTTGCACGAGATGATCCATCTTGTTTGTAGTAGTACCCAACGAATTTTAATTTAGCTAATAAAAATGTATTTTTTGGTGTCGCAGAACTAATACAATATCACCACCTAAATTAGTGCGATACTGTGCTCTATCTGCTCGCCCACCCCCCACTCCTAATATTGACCAACAGTTTAAACACTCATTTATGAGCTAAGTAACACTGCAAATAAAAAGTCAGTGTAAACTTGTAATTTATAAGGAAAAAAATGAACAACAATTAAATACGAAAATTGTCATGTTAGCAGGGTGTTGTGTTAGTTTTAAGGCAGCTTATAAGATTGTTGTATGAGAGGATAATTAATTATCATTGTTGTATGAAGTGAGGTGATATTTATCTGATAAAAGCAAAATGGATACTCAAGCTTCATCTAATACCGGCTGTATGAAATTTCAGTAATGTAAATTACTTGGTATTTATTCATCAATAAGAGCATTAGTGGAATACAAGGGAACTAAGAAGCTTGAGTAGAAGCGCTTTTCTGGCAGCCGGTTTGTCGAGAGACTCGACAAACTGGGACAGTTATTCAGCACAATGGTGCTCTGATGCACACAGTGAAGCATTCTTCAGAGATAAATATGGACCTAACAGAAATGAAATAAATCTAGTTTCTTTTTAATGTTAATCTTTTGAACAGAAAATGTGTAAGTTGGGAGGAGAACCCAGGAGGAGCATGAGCCATTTTTCTTGCTCTGAGAGCTTTGTGGAAGTTAAAAATAAAAGGAAACAGCGTGAATTAGTGGTCTAATATTTAGTTCTCTGATTGCTCACAAAAAGACATTAAATACTGAATTTGTCAATTTCAGGCCTTGATGAAGGGAACACTACACATTCATCCGACGCTCTAAAAATGATAGAAACAATGGGTAAGTATTTGGTTTTTTAATTGTTTTATGCCAGGCATCTATAAAATATTCATGATTTCATCCATGATTGAACCAGCTTTAGGGTTGAGTGTGGTCATGATAGCAGACTGCTGAATCCAGTACCAGTACTCGGTTTAATTAAGATTCAACACTGCCATAATCAAAAAAAAAAGAAAATCTTCTTTTAAAAATGAGCAGTTTTTGCACGGGGGTTTGGGTGTCCGTCTCTGCTGGCTGTGCTTTGCACATTTGGCTTAAGCTGAGAGTTTTCTCAACCAGCGTAAGAGGCCCTGGATTCAGTTCAATGTCCGTGGGCTGCCAATGTTGCCATATCTGATAATGTTGCCATAAATTTGATTGTTTGTTTGTGCCCATAGAGATTTATTTGCCCAACTGTCAAGCATGACGCCAAATTGGTGCTGCCAGCTTCTTTCTTTAAAACAGCAATCTGTGGTCACTCTCAGGACGCGAATGTTGACTGTGTGTTTGTCAGCTGCAAATGATGAACTGTGATGAATACGTGTGCTCCAGGCACTGCTCTGCTGGAAAAACTGATAACACTAATTCTAAATTAGCTTAAGCATCGTTTCTGCGTTATTATTAAAAAACAAAATCAGAGTTTTCATATAGCTCCAGATCTTTAATAAGTCCATTTTGGCTGAAAATACAGATTTATTGGTTGGGTTTCACAAAAAAAGAAGCTTGTTTTAACGTATTTCAACTCTTTATCACTCTACAGTTAAACATTTAGTCAGCTCATTATTCCTGCCATTGGTAAATGTATCTGTGACTCCTTAGGCTTTGCTCAAGGACCACCTTTTCTTCTGCAAACTCACACATAGTTAGGTCCTTAGGTTTCTGGACAGTGACGCATTATTTGTGATTTTGCCTCTGTACACAGTCACAGTGGATTTCTAATTAAATTAGTCAAGATGTGACTGAAGTGCAGACTTTTAACTTTAATTCAAGGGGTTTTGCAACAGTTTTGCATTAACTGTTTAGGAATTACCGTCATTTTTATACATAGCACCCCATTTTCAGACGTTCAAATGTAGTTGGACATTTGACTGACAAGTAGTTTCATTGGCAGGTGAGGTCGATTCCCTCATTACTCATTTATGAGGGAAGTAATGAGTCCAAATGTTGAACTTTATGCCAGCATTAGCAGTTCAATAGAACTCTCAATCTGAGGTTTTAAAGAGACAATGATGCAAATGAGGGACGCTATCATTAAGCTGAAAAACCCAAATAAACCTGTCAGAGAGTTCGTCAGTCTGGTGCATTCAACATCGAAAGAAAACTAAAGTGGGTAGTTACAGAATTACTTCAACGACTAATCAAAACAACTTTGCAACAACATATAACCAAGTCAAGACTACACTCCAGGATGTAGGCATATCATACAATCAAGAGACGCCTTCATGCAACAAGGTACAAACTCCTGGTTACCCCCAACACCAGGAAGGACAGACTAGACTTTGACTAGACCAGAAATAATCGAAAAGAGCCGGCACAGTTTTGAAAAAAGTCTTTTGAGAGATGAAACCAAGGTTAACTTAGACCAGAATTATGGGAAGAGAGAAGCATGAGAGAAGGCAAGGAACAGTTCACGATCCAAAGCATACGTGAAGCCAATGTTATTCTATGGGTATGTAAGGCTACAGGTAGACCTAGGTCACACGTGTTTATTGTTGATGTGGATGCTGGTAAAAGCAGCAGGATACATTCTGAAGTATAAAGAGCTATACACTTCTCAGATTCAGCCAAATGCAAAACTGGTTGGATGGTGTTTCAGAGTGTAAATGGAAAATGACCCAAAGAATACTACAGAATCAATTCAATGAACATGTAAGGGACCTAGTGTTCAACAGAGCATGCTTTTCAGTTACTAAAGACAAAACTAATTGCAGCAAAGGGCTTCAAACAAGCAGCACATGAAGGTGACTGCAGTAAACACCTAGCAGCATCTACACAGGCGAAAAACAGCATTAACTTATGCTAATGGGTTCTTACAGTCCTTATATTAAAAATTATGTTAGCTTGACTGCAATTCGTAAACAGTTAATGCAATACTTTTGTGGAAAAGTGTCTTTGTTCAGACACTTATGGACCTAACTGTCCATGCCACATTGATTTAGTATTCCTAATTATCCACATGGAGGGAAGGACAGTGGAAATTTTACATTTGTCTGGACTGAGCCAGTGGTGAGCAGAAAAAAATCTTACAGGGCTCAAGTGTTATTGGCCTATTTACAACTTTTTGTTCAAACAACAAAGCTTTTCAGTGCAAAAAGTGTTTTGGACCTCGTGCACGGCCTATTAGGTGTTAGTCACAGTTGGTGAGCTTCTGAAATTGCTTCATTTTTGCTCAGATGACGTCTGGCTGGCCCATCCTTACTAACAAGCCACTCTGGAGTTACTCGGTTGTAGGGCTTATAGAGGATCCAGCAAACAAAGCGTGGAGGTCCCAGTCCTTTTATCTTTTCCTCCTGATAACCATTCATTCTACGCTCCTGTGTAACCCACCATTTGACCCTAAAGTCAAGAAAAGGAAACATTGCTATTCCAAAAACAAGCAGTGCATTGAAAATTGAGTTTTTTTCTTCTGTGCAAAAGCTTGTGGCTACATGATTTTGATATAGGCCTGTTGAGAGTCAACCGGCCTTAACTAAGCCTAGCCTATACATTTACAAGTCATTGAGTTATTGTTAAACATAAATATGTTAAAGTCATGTTTCAAATGGTTGTGGAGGCTTTTTTTTAAAAGAATCCTCTCAATAATTAAATCAGGATGCCTAAATGAATAAATGAGGTAATATCCAAACACTCTTCCCACCCTCGCTATCTTCACCCATGAACTGATGAAGTCTTTGTCCTCGCCACCTCTCTCCACCTCTGTCACTCCCACACCTCCGGCTGCCTGCATCGTCGCCTTCACTCTGGCGCTGTCACTGAAACATGCGACGGTTTGCAGACACGCAGCGTGCCTTGCAGGCGGTGGAGCGACTCCAGGCCAAACTCAAGGAGCGGGGAGAAGTGCCCACTGAGGAGAAGCTCAGCCTGCTCAAGTCAGTGCTCCAGAGCCCCCTCTTCCATCAGATCCTGGCCTTGCAGAAGTCTGTCCAGCATCTCAGAGATCAGGTAAACCCCAAACCTTTTTGCTTAAAGGTTTTATATTTCCTCCAATTTGGCTCACATTTCTTATGCCATGTTTTTCTTAGACTGTGTGTCTTAAGGATAGAGATTATATGATGTCACAGATGGTTAAAAACACTTTCTACTTACTTTAAATGTAATATTTATACATTAATATAACTTATCAATAGTTGTCTCAAAATGGCTTCACACTGGCGACAGTTGTGGCAGGACTCATTTTGGATACTGCCGTTAGTTACATGTCGTACACTGTGTGCACTAAATGCCTTCTTGAGTGTTGAAGTTGTGTATGCAGTGGAAGTGATGCTGGAGTTATTGGGCTGACTGGTGTGTTTTGAGAATATTTGGCTTCTGACCACTGAAATTATGCTAAATTCTAATATTTAACACATAAACTCCAGACAGCAACCATTTAAGGGATGGTCAGTGCCTTAAACACGTATTTATTGTAATTCTATGTTGAGTGTTTTCCGTCATCACGTCTCATTTTGAAGGTTAGCTCCTCATGCGGCCTCCTGTGCTTTTACTTCCCTCCTTTGTTCTTTTCCCAATCTCATTAGCGTTTGATTGACTTCACCTTTTGCACCTTGACCAGCCTGCTGTTGTGGCTAAAGTGTCTGTTCTTACAGGTCAGCTATTGTCTATTTCTACATGTCTGTGGGACAATCTGAATTCGTTCACTCTGACCGGCCTGTAACAGTATTCAGTGAACCTGCAGTGGGATTTTGTCAGTAGTTTTTTCAGCATCATGACAAAAAAAAAAGGAATTTCTAAGATAAAACTGGAACTCCTGCTTTAGCTCTACCTCAGCTAGGCTGGAATGTTTCTGATATCCTTATTCAGGTTTTTATCTCTCCCTGCTTCCTTGGTGACCTCACTGATTCTACTTCTGGCTTATGTCAAGACATCCTCCCCTCACCCTTTCAATCCCTATTCCCAGTAGTGTTTGCCGCTATGGCCAAATTGCTGTCAGGGTCCACACAAGCCAGATATAATATGGGTACATGAGCAGAGATACTTTTTTCTGGCTGATTCTCCCCATTGAGAATTAAACATCTGAGTGGAAGGAAAGCGCTCTCAAGTCACAGAGGAAAGGGGCCAGGGTAAGCGTTTCAGAGAAAGAGACGAAAGTATGCGAGCTATGCACTGGGAGGAAGGGATGTTCGCTTTTTTACCCCTTGTGGAATTTAGATTTAAAAAGCCCCGTGGCATTTTTGTGCGCCAGCGATTTGACTTATTTCAAGAATAGGTACCTTCTTTTGTGTGTGTGTGTGTGTGTGTGCAGATTCCTCTGTTTTATAATAGAAAACTTAAGAAGCAGCCATTCAACTTAAAGTTCGTTCAAACCAAAGGATGGACCTTTTCTGTGTTATAACAATAGTAATATTTTTGAGAAATGAATAGATAAAAAAGCAACAACTATAAGTGTGTTATGTTTCTTTGGGGCTTTCAGACCCAAGCTGTGTTTGTGTGGCCGTGTAAATCAGAACCAATTTGGGGAGATGGTTTGTTTTTGTGTTTTGAGGCTGACACGCAAACACACACACACAGTCACTGCCCATCTTCTGGCTCTGCTAGTTAGGCCTTGCTTAGCCCACGTCGCTATGGCGACAAGGCCCTACTCTCCAATGAGAAAGAGGCCGCTGCCACTGTGTGAAGTGGGGCAGAAACAATTTCTTAAATGTTCAAGAACCAAACTGGAACTTTAATCCTCTTAGCTGGGCCCCAGCTAACAAAGCTCATGCATGAGCACGGCAACTTAGCAGCATGCTACGCTAACTTAGCCGGGCCCACGGGGTTTTGTTTGCTGTGTGCGGCACTAATGCATCCTGTCCAATGGAGTTTTGTTTCTGAGTGCTAATCTGGGACTGTATTTAAAGGAAGCGTGATGTACAGTACATGTTCTCGAAGCTCTGAAAGTCGCACAGTCCAACTTCCTAATGCAAATTTCACAAGTTCACAAGGACAGCTTTAGCCTGGCAGCGCCATATGCCAAATGGAGTGTTTATAGAATTATTGCCGTGCATTACGTCCGTCCTTTTGAATCCAATTCGGAAAGTCATAAACATTACACCCTTTGGCTAATGAAATCGGGAAAACACTGTTTTATGTAGTTGTCGCCTTCATGTAATTCATCTGTCACACAAGTAAAGTCATTGCAGTAATTAAGAGCCGAGCATATTAAAGCATCCAGATGGCCAGCGATGCTTCTCCCTGGCCCCGATAAAAATATTGTATTTGGAGCCTCATCACTGTTGGAACATCAGCTAAGAGCTATTATCTCCTGAAGGATTAGAGTGCCATAGATGCAGCTAATCATGGAGGGATAACAAACTGTCTGCCATCTCGGTGGTTTTTTTAGACACTCAGATCCAGAGTTTTGGTGTCTAAAATTTAATTTGCAAGATCTTTATGTTCAGAGTACAAATGAGGCATAATGGGCCTTTTTTTGTTTTGTCCCTTAAAACTTTTAATTGTCTTTGGTTGGATTAAAGCCAGCAACTGCTGCTGTGTACAGGATCGCTTTGGAGATTTTCTGAGCTGTTATGCCCCATTCAAACTGAAAGCCCAGCAGTTTTGGATTTGATTCAATAGCATTCATGTGTTTGAATGTGGACCTATTATGCTTTTCTTTATGTTTTGTCTATATACTACAGCACTGTATGCCAGCCAATCAGGCGAAAGATGGGTAAACTTTTATATATGTAGTGTTTCATGTTCACTTTAAAGGAATGTAGAAGGAAGATCCAAAATCCAGGAGTAAACATAGAAGTGTCAGGGAGGTATCTGTAGTTTTCACATTTCTGTTTTATCATTTCAGGGGAGTGTCCCTTTATCACGAGGGAGTGATCTCACAGCAGCCAAGCCCAATGGCAGCCATGTTTCCTGCTCAGACACCCCAGCTCCCACGCACGCCAATGGGAAGACGTCATCCGAAGAATTTGAACATATTATCCACTCCATGGCGCAGGTACAAACAGCTAGAAGGGAGGCAGTTATTGTAATGCGTGCTAACATTTTGTTAATTTATTGTCGGTTTAAGCTAGATGGCATATATTGACAAAGCGTGTGGAATCTGCATGTCGTCCCCGTGTCTGTGTGGGTACTCAGGCTCTCTCCCACAGTCCAAAGTGTCTCTCTGTGTGACTGCCCAGGGTGTACCTTGTGTTTCGCCCTACGACAGCTGGGATAGGCTTATGAATAGAATAGAACTGGATATGCAGAAGAAAAGGGATGCGCATAAGCTAAAATAATGCTATTGTGGCAAGTCTATTTTGAAACCCCAGTAGACTTTTTTTGTCAATCTTTTAACATTTTACTGATTTTTTACACAAAAATAGGCAAGATTACTTTTTAATAAGTCCTATAACTCAAACCAAACATTCAAAGAGAGTCAAAAAAAGAAGAAAACTCCGCAGTGCTCCTCTCTCTTGAGGCACTTCAAATAGACTTCTAAAGGCTGCCTGTAGCTTTGATGCTTTAGTGAATCAGCACAAGGCCAATGTGTGTGTATATATATATATATATATATATATATATATATATATATGTAATACAAGGTTTGTGTGTGTATTACGCAGGGACGTTATGTGACGCATGTGGATCTGCAGAAGCCAGTGTCCGGAGGTCTTGGCTTCAGCGTGGTGGGCCTAAAGAGCGAGAACCGCGGAGAGCTCGGCATCTTCATCCAGGAAATTCAACCAGGAAGTGTCGCTCACTGGTATGCAGGAAAAACATGCTGCTATGCAGTCTTCCAGACATTCTTTCAGCATCTGGTTAATTGTTGATTTCTAATTTGAAATTTCTAGGACTTTGTTTCAGACAGTCAGGTGGGTGCGTTTACAGATTGTCTTGGGAGATTAGAGATACTTTTATACTTGCCAGGAAATACCAGAGTAAAGCTGTTGTGAGCTGTTGCAACACATGTTGCGTCACACCAATCCTAAAAGAGTGGAAGCTGCATTTTTCATGTTTCAGATATAAACACCCTTAAATGTATTCACCCAAAGACAAATTCAAAGTTACAGGTACAAAGATTAAAGCTATAATGTGGTATCTGGTGACTATAAGGGTTCTCATTCTGTGTCCTTGCCTCTGCTGCATGCTTCTTCCCCGTTACAGCGATGGGAAACTCAAAGAAGCCGACCAGATATTGGCCATTAATGGCCAGCCTCTGGACAAGACAGTGACCCACCAGCAGGCTATAGGCATCCTGCAGAGTGCTTCAGACAGGGTGCAGCTCACAGTGGCCAGAGGGCCAATACCTCAGCTGGCCAGTCCTGCAGTGTCCCGCACGCCCTCTGCTGCCAGCACATTATCAGCCAACTCCAGCGCGGTAATGAGTACACTGACACACCAGTGGGGCCTCTGCAAGGAGCGTGTTGTGATCTGACACAGTTTCCATGTGGGGACTTAAGAAACTACATGCACTTTGCTCTTTGCTCTGCAATCCCCATCCAGCACCACGACACAGAAAACAAACATACCTGTTAAGTGATGTACATTTTTCCTAATAAGACACTGGGTAACATTGTGTTTCACTTCTGTTACTGTCTCAGTGGCAACATGTGGAGACGATTGAGCTTGTCAACGATGGCACCGGTCTTGGCTTTGGTATTGTTGGAGGAAAAACCACCGGGGTTATAGTCAAAACTATACTTCCTGGAGGCATTGCTGATCAGGTGACTCTTTAGCTGTGTCTGTCACTTCTTTAGGACATGTCTTTTTTCATCGCTCACAGCCAATGACACTTTCAGTGTTCTAGACAGATGACTCCTGTCAGTTATGTGTAATGAGTAATTGCAGGAAAGCACAGAATTACCTGTCACTTAGGAGTGACAATGCCATAATGAGCGCAGAGTTAATATAGAAATCATTTCTTGCCACAGGATGGCCGCCTGCGCAGCGGGGACCACATCCTGAGAATCGGAGACACCGACCTGCTCGGCATGGGCAGCGACCAGGTGGCCCAGGTCCTGAGGCAGTGCGGGAACAGGGTGAAGCTGGTTGTTACCAGAGGTCCTTTGGAAGAGACTCCCTCTGCTTCTGTCATGCCTGTGGTGCTCCCCACTGTCAGCGAACAGCAGGTAAGGGCATCTGTTCCTCTGTAAACCCAAATACCTCTTTTAAATTTTTTTTTACATCACAGAGACGCGTGTCTCATTCAAATTGATTTTATGACTCGCACTATCCTCGCAATAAAGCGTTTTCTGGAGAACCCGTCATCCTGATGGTAATTGCCTGCCATGCAAGACACACCATACACAGTTATATATATAAAAAACTTCACACATAAACTTCAGGTCCTTCATATCCAGTTTTATCTTTTCTTCCTGCTTGACAAGCCAGTACAAATGCAATTAAAGAAAATTGCAGGTTGCATCACCTGTGACTCACACTTTGCTTTACGTTCCCAGAAAAAGAAGGAAAAAAAAAGCTCAGAGCCTCCTACAAACAGCAATTTCATGGCCATTTTCAGCACTCGCTTCTATTTTGACTTGATTGAATGATTAGTGACTCACAATGTGAATGACAAACATCATATCCCTGTGATCACACACAGTAACTGTGAGTCTTATTTTTGGCTGACAGGTACTGAGCGCTCATTAATCAAAGTTAAACAATGTATTTTGATGTGCCGCAATTTTCCTTTCTTCTGTTCCAAAGTAAAACATCGCTTTCATTTGGTTTCTGCTGTGATGCTGACTCATTTCTCTGCGTCTACACGCAGGGCTACGAGGAAGAGGATGCTGAGGCATTTGATGTGAGCCTTACTAAGAACACCCAAGGACTCGGGATCACTATTGCTGGTTATGTTGGAGATAAGAATTCAGGTGAAAAACTGATTTTTTTAAAATAATATGGAGATTTTATATTTCTATTATATATGCCAGTTTTTAAATTGTGTTGATAGGCCACGTAAAACCAGAGTAGAAACCAGGTAGAAACAGGAGCAGTGATACGCCTGCTGCTGTCAGGCCTGCAGGTATCAGGCTGTGACGTTCTCCTTTATAGTGGAGTGGTACAAATAATTTGTGTGGCATCTTATTGAATGCCGAACACCTGATCGTTCTGTAAATAGTTTGAAATTTCTGATTATATTCAGGGATCTGTAATTTGTAAAGTTAGTAAAAAGTGCCCTCCGTTTATTGAAACACAAATTGAAACACATTTAATGTCTTCACCCATTTATGTGTCTCAACTGTTCTGATTCCTCAGAGCCCTCTGGTATCTTTGTTAAGAGCATAACAAAAGACAGCACTGTAGACCAAGATGGCCGTATTCACATTGGAGACCAGATTATAGCAGTAAGTACACTAATTATGCTCTTTTGGTTACGGCTGGCTTCTGTTTTCAGCAGAACGAGATCAAACATGCAGCAAATGTTTCATATTATCATTGATTGTGATCAAATTTACACATTTAGGCAATGGAGGGAAATTATGAGATGCATGAATTTGAATAATTCCCAATTATGCTTTTTATTTGTTCTTCTTGCGACTCTGAATATAAAAGAGTTTTGAAACAGGACACCGAGCAGTTAAGTCTGTAATTTCATTACTGTAGGTCATTAACAGTGAAGCCATGAGTGGATGTTTTTACATGTTTTCTTGAAGAAGTTCTGACTTACTTGTGTGCTGGTGTGTGAGGATGGACTTGCTTTGGGAGTTCACCTAAACGCTCATGATTGTGAGGGATTTAAAACTATCTACTTCCTACCTGCCCTGAATGACCTAAATGAATGAAGTCGTGGATTAGACGACACTCGGGTGCAGAAATCAGTCTTTAGTTAATGCCATTGCAGTTCATCTCTTTCCAGCAAGAACATAGATGGCGCTTCAGCACACTCATATTGTGCAAGCAAGCCGTTCTGCCTCTCCTTTAATCCACCGGCTCACGAGAGATCGCCCTCTGCAGGTCGACGGCGTGAACATCCAGGAATACACCAATCAACAGGCAGTTGAAGTGCTGAGACACACGGGCCAGACGGTCCACCTTAAGCTGATCCGGCGGGGCTTCAGGCCCGATGAGATCCCCCCTGTCACAGCCCCCGTTGTCACCGTCCTCCCCCCTTCCACCACCATCCCCACAACCACCACCGTCATGAAGGAGCTGGAGCTGGAGAGAAAGAAAGCTGAGGAGGCTGCTGAAGGTAGGATGGATTAAGTGAGAGAAATTTAATGAGGATAGATTAAAAAAAAAAATCCCTTACTTCTCATCATCCTGTCAAAAAAGGTGTCATTTGATGTGTAAATTTGGCTCAGACAGGAGTTTCATGATGCAGTGAGGAGTCATTTCCATGTGACTCCAAAAGGAAATTTCAGACACTTTTATGGTGTTGTAAACAGATGCAAACAGAACTTACTCCTGCCACACACAAATGTTGTTGGCTGGAGTTATGGCCTAAAACAACATCATATGCATAGAGTGAGGAAGCTGAAGCCTGAACACAGGATCATTCAGTTGCAGAGAAATCGACTTTTTCATATTGCGAGTAACCATTTTACACCAATTCCTAATATTGAAAAATAATTGCTTATTGCAGGTTAAAAGGTTCCTCCTCATAATAACAGCAGAATACTCCCACGTTACAGCCCCGTCGCTCCTAATTAGAGGTTGAAATATGCTAATTAACGCTGCTGACAAATGCCAAGAGGACAAAAACTATTTTCTCAGATATGGCAATATAGTTACGTGTACGGAATCCAAAACTTAGCATCATGTTGGTTGAGAGTTGAAGTAAATCAACTTTCAGAATAGTAAAATAGTGCACAATGCATAACATCCCAACCAAGGAGAAACCTGCATTTATCTTCGTTCTTGTGTGTTTTTCTAATACCTTTGCATTTATGTAATATTGGCATTAAATAAGAAGAAACTTATTTAATGCCAGGACCTCTGGGCTGTTGCAGAAGAAAGTCAAGCAACTTGCACAAGTTGTTTAGTGTCGGCAGTAATAGATGGAGACTGAAAGTGATTATTTTTAGCACTAGGAAGTTGAAACATGAAGAAAACCAGAAAGGGAAGAAGGGTAGAGTAGTTTTTGGCTGCTTTGAAAACTCTGAGTATAGGAGAAACAGGAGTGTGTGTGTGTATGTGCACAGTGTGCTTTTTGCTCAATCATTAAATGAATGAAACAACAGAAAGAAATCGAACCATTAACTTAAACTGTTGTCACATCCTTCCATAACAATCTGCTGAGTCGTATTTGTATGCTGGAACTTAAAAGACTTTAATATAAAATTCACTTCATGGCAAGTATTCATTTCATGGGTGACCAGTTCTGTGCCTTGCGGAACCCCAAAGACAAAAATGAGTCCCAGGCTCATTAAACGTGTATTAAAAGTCCTGGTATTTTTATGGATTAGCAAACATTAGCAAAGGCGCTTTATGTGTTTTTGATATAAAGGGAAAAGAGAGAAGGTCCTCTTTCAAAGCAAGAGTGATTAGGCACTAACAGATTCTGTGTCAGTGTTGAGGGTTTTTTGTGCTGTGCGTGTGCTGCTGGTGGAAGGTCGATGGCTCCTTTGTGCGTCTCACTGTCCGTTGTGTGTTTACCGTCTCCACAGATGAAAAGCAGCTCCACACAAAGAGTGAAGGATCTGATGTCAGCCCTGCCACGGATCAGCTAACAGAAGACAAACATGGTAGGAGGCTGAGATGCTTTTTCCGTGTGCTTTAGCAGTGATATTGGGCCCAAATCTGACAGATAAGGGCTTCTATTGACAGGACCGCACCGACTAGCAGCACACAATGTGAGGACATGCTGAGACGGCTGCTGTTGCTAGGTTCAGACATTTAAATGGTAGCAGATAAGGGTTTATTTGATCTTCCACGACACATTTTCAAGTACTTTGCTTATACTTGGAAGTTTATGGTGCAGTGCCACCTGTGAATGGCTTATGACAACACCGTCTTAATTTTTGTGTGTTATTGCATAACATATTGTGTTTTTGAAGAACCGAGCTTAACACCTTTTGAAGAGGAGGAGTTAATGAAGAAGTGGCAGGAAATTCTGGGCCCAAGTAATGAAGTTGTGGTAAGTTTACTGTTTAGATTCATAGCAGATATTGTAAAAAATAACAGTGACCTGGGTCATCAAACAAAAGGGTCTGAATCATTGACAGACTTCACATAAAGAGATGTGATTTACTGTTACCCTGACAGGTGGCTCAGGTGGAGAAGTTTACCGAGAACAGCGGTCTGGGCATCAGTCTAGAAGCCAACAGCGGACATCATTACATCCGATCTGTCCTTCCTGAGGGACCGGTCGGTCGCTGTGGCAAGCTGTTCAGTGGAGATGAGCTTCTTGAGGTATAATACTCGAAAATTACATTTGTTATTAGTATTTACAGAAGGTTGGTTGGTTGGTTCATGGAGCTCAGTTTTAGTGCAGTACATATTGTCATACAGCAACTCTGGAAGTACTTACATTGATTATAATGGTCTTTGTGGTGTTTCCTTTGTAGTTATAACACAGTGCCTGACAACTGCTGTATATGCCAATAAGGCATGTATGGGCTTCACTTATTAGGAATGATTCCTACCTAAAAATTCACCAACAGAGGATAAGCTTCTGATACAACTTCACCTAATTCAAGGATGCTTGGGGAAGAGGGTGAAGTCTGAGGAGGTTACGCTCCATATATTTCCCCAAATATAGTTCCCCCAAAGAAAGTAATAAAAATCACTCCACATAGAGCTGAAAGCTGGATTAATCAGTGGTGTATCAGCTGTTTAAGTATGTTTCCAAATGAGTTATTTGGAGTTATGGTAAATAAATTCCTGGTTTTACATTTGTTTTTGCTACTTTTAGGTCTTTGTTTTGTATTCATGGCTTGCCTTTTAGCTGTTCCGGTTTATTCTCACCACTCTCATTTCCATCTCTGGCAGGAGGCCGTTTCAGTACAAAGGTCTAAAAACCTCCTGTTTTCTGCAAGAGTGGCGCCAACCTGCAGATTAATGCTAATGTTGCTATGTTGCTCCCTTTCTGCTGGGCAACTGTTGCCACAATAACTTAAGTCAGTGGTTTGCAAACTGTGCAGCGTAGTAGGCTACTGGGAAAATATGGGGTGAATCAATGTTAAATGAATCTGATTTAGCTGGAGAAAATAAACAGGGATTTGCTACTGCAGCTGTGTTAAGCTTTTTTAAAATGAACTGGATTCTTTCGTATGGTTAATGATCCCTTCTCTCTTTTTGAGGAGGGTTGAGGTGCCAAAATAAGTTTGAGAACTGCAAACGTAGGTTGAAAAGGTGTCAGTACTGAGTTTACAACTTTTTCCACTTCCCACACATAAATAAAATAAATAAGTAAATAAATAAATATAAGAAGTGCTTCTTGGGATTACTAAAATTATTCTTTGGCATTTTGCCTTTTTTTTTTAGGAGGAATAGTAAGAAAATGTCCACAAAGATCTGCAGCAGAGATCCGTTTAGCTAAGGCTCAGCTGCTGAGAGGCACTTTATCCCACGTGACATGTACTGTAACCACTTGGTCCTGATTTTAAATTCATATTATGATTAGTTTTAAGTTTTAACCTTTCCTTTCTTAGGTCAATGGCATTTCCTTGATTGGTGAGAGCCACAAAGAAGTAGTGAGAATCTTGAAGGAGCTTCCGCTCCACGTGTACGTGACATGCTGCAGGCCGGCCCCCGACCTTCAGCCTGAGGTGGATGCTGAGCAGAGAGAATCAGAGGCTTTGTCCACAACATCGAAATTGAAGGTACCTGCACTCATGATGCTGCAGTCCGTTTAATACTTAATACTACAAAAAACATCCAAGTAAAAGGGTACAAACTTGCAGTCTGCACTTACAGGACACTTTATTAGGTACACCTAGCTAGTACTGGGTTGGACCTCCTTTTGCCTGCAGAGCTGCTTTATTTCTTCATGGCACAGATTCAACAAGGTTCTGATGCTCTGTTTGAACAGCACATCGTGTTGACCCTGTCCACATACCTAAAAGCATTGAGTTTCTGCCATGTGATTGGCTGGTTAGATATCTGTGTTAACACTCAGATAATCAGTTGTCCGGTGTATATTACTAAGAAAGTACTGTTGCAGACGATGCATATGCAGGCCTCCTTTTGAAAGCATTACCACATCATAGAATATGTTTTCCTGCCTGTGCATATAAAGCAATTTGAGAATGATGCTCTTTAAGTCTTCCTTCTCTGTTCTAACCCATCAACCATTATTAGCTTGCTGTCAATTGCTCTATCGGGTTTCCACACTGCCATCCATGATGGATTAAGACTTAGTGATAAGCAGGGAAGGCTGAGTGTTTATTAAGACCAATTCTAGCAATACCTCAGCAGTAGCCAGCAACATTTGCTAGAGATATGAGACATCAAAAGCAGCTTTCCTTTGGGTAAGGGGGTTTTCATCTCTCTCGCCTTATCTGTGATAATGTACTAAGGCCCGAGCATCCCAAAGATATTTCCCTTTCATCTGCTGCCAGAAACCTGAGCCAGAAACAGAACTAGAGGGGAGCAGCCTATGGGTTGAGAGTCAAAGCGACGAAGGCATGGGGTTACATAGTGATTTTGGGTTTTTCCTTTCTGTGCAGAATCAAATAGACCTCAGCGGTGTAGTGGTTGCTGAACACCCAGAGGTGAATACAATAGCGGCGACACAGGGCAACGTGAGCGAGGAGGCGATAGGATCCCCTTTGGCTATGTGGGAGTTGGAGATCCAGAATATCGAGCTCGAAAAAGGAGAAGGGGGATTGGGATTCAGCATTTTGGATTACCAGGTGGGATTATGTTCTAGGGTTTAATGGAAATGTAACAAATATCAATATTCAGGTAACAGATCCTTTTTTAACATGTTTAGATGATGAGTTTTTTTCTTTAGTTTTTTAAACGTGTCTACATTGTGCGTATTTCTGTATTATAGGATATTTAAACGTGGCCATATTCACAATATGGGCTACTTTTATTAGATGGAAAAAGCTCGGTGGTGTGTGTGTGTCTGAGTGTGTATTCATATCTTTGTGGAGGCCAAAAATTGGAAGTTTATTTGTGGGGACCAGGATTATGGTCGCCTCAAGTTTGAAGGCATTTTTGAGACTCAAAATGTGGTTTCAGTGACAATATGTTAGGTTTAGGCTAAGGGTTAGGCATTCATTTTTCATGGTTAGGGTTGGGGTAAGGGGCTAGAGAAAGCATTATGTCAATTAGATGTCCCCACAAGAAATGAATACCCCACGTGTGTGTGTGGGAGTGGTTAAGAAAATGACCTGAATTCGATGTGATCTCCATATGAGGCTGTGATAATTTACTCATTGACTTGTGCTGGCTTAACATCACCACAGGACCCACTGGACCCGGCCAAAACGGTGATTGTGATTCGCTCTCTGGTTCCCAATGGTGTCGCAGAGAAGGATGGCAGGCTGTTGCCAGGAGACCGACTCATGTACGTTAACAGCAGCAACCTGGAGAACGCCAGCCTGGAGGATGCCGTCCAGGCCCTTAAGGGGGCCAAGCTCGGCAAGGTCCAGATCGGAGTCGCCAAACCACTGCCTGTAAGAATTGTTATTAGAAAGCATTTGCTTTTCCCCCCTCTACTTTAAATCGCTTTGAAAATCAAAGTTCAAATGTGTTTTGCGTGATTGTAGTATTAAGTGTACGTGTACCTGTCAGAGTTACTGAGATTTACTCTGTGCTTTTGTGAATTTTCTGCAGTATTTGTCAGGGATCTGTCCCTCTACGTATGCAGGGTTTTAAATCCAGCAGTCCATATATCACACAAGTTAGTCTCCAGTCATGACAGCTCAGCTTACAAGGGCTTGAATTTTTCATGCAGGAAACAGTGTGGAGGTAGGCTGCATGGTTTAGCATTCCACCCACTATTCTTTCAGGGGAGGTGACCAGCCTAAAATGCCCTGGACCCTTTGTTTTATATTATTATGTTATCGAATTCTCCAGTAGCACATCCCCTCTTGTACATTTAAACATACAAGGGCACCTGTCAAGATATTAGGTCCGTCCAACGGCATATTCATTGCTCCAGGCAGCTGTGCTCCTTGTACAGGATGTTTCTCTCCCTGCAAAAACAGCTTGCATTCTTTCAGCTGTAGAGCCGCAGTTCTCTTGTATTGAATCTGTCGTTGGATTACTCAGCGAGACCTCTGGGCTGCCAGGGTTAGCTGGATTACAGAGCTGCTGGAAGCCTCTGTGGAGTTATCCTGCTCTGCTGCAGGACGTGGAATGGACTTCTGAGAAGTATTTTGTTGTGTTGCCTCTCAAAATTGAGTCTTACTAGTGTAATCCTGCAATATGCCATCTTGGTTTTCATACATTTCTAGGGTGCACGCTACTCACAGTAAATTGCAAAAGTTCTTTTGCTTTCCATAGAATGCATGTAAAAAACATGAAATTCAGAACGTCGAGATGATTGAACTCTATAGTTAAATAACAGCATCCTCAAAAATGTAACATCGCTTTCCATCATCATTCCATGTTAATTTATTTGCTCTAGGTTTTGGTTAATGTAGTGTAATTCCATAAAGCCGGGGACACTGAAAGAATTTCTCCACTTTCTTAGGGAATATGTGGATATTCCCACTCTCCACACCCATATGGTGAGCAGGAAATAACTTCATCACCCACCATCCAATCATTTGACTTCAACAGTATTTTGGTTGAAGAAGGAGAGGAAGAAGGACTGACTGAGGGCATCCTTTACCGAGCAGAGCCTGCATTGGTTAGTTAGCTTCTGGGAAAACTGAAAAAAATCAATCAATCAATCACAGCTCATGAAAAGGGAAACACAACTTATACTTTTGCTTCCTTCTCGTAATTTTGAAGCGTACCATGCTTGTAATCATGCAACAGTTAGCTTATATGAATGGTATTCTAATAAATACACGCAGTCGATTGAGGGTTTTATTGTTAAGGCTTCATTAGCTGTAGCTACATCAATTCTGATTGACTTGCATTACATTCCTACAATAGCATGATTAGTGATTCTTCCTAAGTGTCCCAGCTATTTGTATTTTGATCCATTACGGCAGATTGATACCAGTGATGCAGACCTGCCTGATGAAAAGATGTTAGGTCATTCTTACTCCGGGATCGAGGACGACACTTTCCAAGCTTCCATGATCGCTCTCCATGGTAGCACCTGTAGCACAGACCTGGATTACCTACACTCATCCACACCTAAGGTAAGGACCTTTATTTATAAAATGTAACTGAAATGAGAAGCACAGCTTGATATTGTTTTCCTCATTTCATTAAATGTTACCGCACCATCTCGTGCCCTTTGTCACAATGAGCTTTACAGCATGTAGTCATTATTCTTTGGGGTTTTTTGCTATGGAGGGCCAAAATGTCATGAGACATGTTTTCTGTTCTTTGTTAGGGCAGTAACTACATTACTGAACTCGGTGTTATATCCACAGCCCCAAGAACTGAAACTCTCCAAATGGATATTAAATTATAAGGAAAATAACCCCGCAAAAAAAGAGTAAGGAGCAGACAAACTATTTTCCTAAGGGTATCTGTGTGTTTCCAGTTTTCCCAAAGGCCACAGCCGACCTTATTTGTAGGGCCTCGCTGCGTAATTTATCGTATAATAGGGCGGCCCAGAGGGACGAACGTGGGGCAGGACGACTCGTGGCAATTTATAGTACTGGGGGATTTCACAAAATACATTTCAGCTGTTTGTACCAAGCCCGACAGCTCAGCCTCAGCGTGATCATGTGCTCCAGAGGAAAGCAACAAGTCTCTTGATAAATTTACATCAGTGACCGTAAGAAATGCACCAGCTTTTCCGGACTGTGAGGCTGGATGTTTTTTTTAACCTTTCACTCCGTGCCTGTTTCCTGAACAACAATGTAAAGTTCACCACATTGTAACTCGCCTCGAGAATGTCTCTGCCTTTAAGTTAGTGAGTTCTCTGTTTACCTGACTATCAGCTTGTTCGTTTGGATGGGGAATGATTTGTAACTTTAATTAGAAAATTGGGACATTCTGCATTCATTTTCTTCAGCATATATCTTATCTCTTTGGCACGTGTTGGTTACAAGTAACGCGTTACTGTAATCTGATTACTTTTTTCAAGTAACGAGTAAAGTAAGGGATTACTATTGCAAAAACGGTAATTAGATTACAGTTACTTTCCCGTAGGAACGCTGCGTTACTAAAACCGTGATTTTTTGCGAGAATGTCTCACGACAGTGACGTAAGCGAGTGCGCCGTTAGTGACAACAGCTGTGTGCAGATCAACAGTGGATCACATATCGATTGTGGGAGAGAGTATGAGCGTGCAGCGTTTAAAGCGTGGAAGTACTGACCTTACTTTGAGTTTGATTCCACAAAAAGTGACAAAAACATTAGCGTCCATCGTGCGTGGGAAGAAAACTTCTTTTTACAGCGAAAAAAACCCCTAAACTTCCAAGCAAGCACCGAGTGGCAACGACGTAATGGGAAACTCAGAGAAACTCGCGGATTCTTCCACTGACCGCGGCACACCTGCACCAGTGTAAACCTCCGCCTACCGCAGTCCTGCTTTACAGGTGAAAATAGAGCAACAGCACCGCTGAGTCTTTGACTTTATTTATTTTCTGCTGTGTTTTACTTGCATCTATTTGAAAGAGTGAGTGTAAACACAAAAAATATTTTATTTTATGTGCTGGAATGTGCAGAAAATAGGTTTAAATGTTAAACTAATTTATTCAACTCAGAGAATTTTGCATATAATTAAATTTTTGCTTGATACATAAAGTTAAAAGATTAAAACTGATAAAACAAGTTTAAAAAAAGAGACTTTTCCATTTGATTACATTTTGTATGATGGATTATGTAGAAAAAGTAGAATTGGGCTGAAAGATCTATCACTTTATCACCTCTTCAGGTTGTAAATCGTGTTTTAAAAAAGTAACTAAGTAATTAATTACTTTTGAAAATAAGTAATCAGTAAAGTAATAGGATTACTTTTTTGGGGAAGTGATCAGTAATTAGTTACTGATTACTTTTTTCAAGTAACTTGACCAACACTGTTAACGACATCAGGTGAACTAGAGGGGCAACGATGAGACAACCTCCACAACAGGAATGCTTTTGCATTTGATTAGGGTCAGTGTCACAAGAGCTAGCATGAGGCAATACCTGGACCCTACAGAGGTTGCACAGGTAGTTCAACTCATCCAGGGTGGCACATCAATATGTGCCACTGTCTCCCAGCACAGAGCATGGAGTAGATTTCAGGAGACAGGTAGTTTCTCTAGGAGAGAATTGATACCATTGATTGCTCCCCATGCTTGCCCGACCTAAATCAAAAGAACACCTCTGGGACATTATGTTTCTGCCCATCCAGCAGAAACATAATGGTTGCAGGTTGCATCTCAGGAGCTTGTCCAGGAGCTCAGTGATGCCCTGGTCCAGACCTGGAACCATCCATCGTCTCATTTGGAGCCATACAAGCACATGAGGGTCATACAAACGTCTGAGTACCATTTGGAGTTGGAGTGCAATGAAATTTCAGCCAAATGGACTCGCCTGCCGCATCATTATTTGACGTTGATTTTCAGAGTCTCTTTGATTTCTTCCCTCTGTAGTTGATCATTTTCATTTCCATCAAACGAGGTGGAATCCTTTCATCCCTAACACATTATCCAGTCCAAATCAGTGTAGCTATCCAGCAGGTTTCCCCACATAGATCTCATGTGTTTTCAAAGTGTTCCTGTGCATTTTTTGAGCAGTATATTTATAAATTTGAAACAGTTTGGTCCTGTCTATTCTGACTGAGGTGTGTATATAGTGATTCTTACTGAACTATTAGTTTGTAGTACTGCTTTGCATGCCAAAAAATTACTTATTTAATATTTTGTACATCCATGAGGGGGTTCTGACCTCAAGCTTTGAAACAACTGGTGTAATAAATGACCCCTAATAATAACAACAGTTTAATCCCTAACTTTGGAAGCTGCCTTTAGTAAAACCATCTCACTTTCCTCCATTTGTCAAAGCCCAGTTCAGTGCTGTCTTATTTCAAATTACACTTCATATTTCCTGTTTTAAGTACATGTTTAAGTCTCATGTTTTATATATTTGCACATTTGCATTTTTTTTAACTTCTGTTCAGACTCCCAGAAGGATTTTTTGCTGAGAACCATTACTATTCAGCCTGGTTCTAATAAAGTCTTAAACGCTGTTATAATAAAACTGCATAATGCACTCGGCTCTCAAGATCTTCAGTAATTTATGCCACTTTCTACTGGCCTCCGATGGCTTTTCTGTGGCTCATTACAAGGAGGGCACGGCAGCGATGGAGGGAGATGAATTGTCCCTGTTGGGCAGTTGTCTAACTAACAGAGTGGGAATGTTCACTCAATCTGCTCTACTTTGTTTTACTCCAGCTTACAGCCCGACTGAACTTGCTGGAGGAGCATCCCTGCTTTGCAGACAATAGTCAAGTCTTCTCTCCGGAGGAGTCGGCCTCTTACGCTCCTCCGAGTCTGACCAGCCACATCCCGGCTTTTAATGCTATTCTGAGCAGCTCCGACCAGTACCTGGGACAGCTCCCGAGCAAAGAAGACCCAGAGGACGGCACAAATTCATACAGCCCGTTTGCTGAAATTGGGAGCAGATCGAATGTGCTGGAGGAACCTGTGGAGAGCCTTAACTATCAGAAGGAGCCTGCTATCTCTTTCGGAGAGATTGTAGACATAAGAGTTTTGATGAAGGTAAGAATTTAACAAGTCTAAATTTTTGCTCGCGATAAGATCAGGAGATAAGATTAAAATGGATATTCTATGCTGTGCACATGTGACAAGGTGCGTTATAACAGCGAGGAAATAATCCTCCATCATTTCTTTTTTAAAGTCTCTCCACTCAGAGGCTGCCTTCAAACGCGAGATAAAAAAGGTTCTAAGCTGATTTGTTTAAAATGATTTTCACAGTCAAATCGCTGCCTTTTTCTCCAGAGACCCTGCTTTGTTTTGGAATCCGGCCTTATTAATATATTTATTTACTGTCATGACTAAGTGTGCTGAATTATCACCTTAAAGGACGAGGAGGCTGGTGCGAAAGAATCTGCAGAAGACGGAGACAAAGCAACGTTGACCTCAGGGAGCAATTTTGAAAGGACTATCACAGTCGTCAAGGGCAACTCCAGCCTGGGTTTGTGCTCATTTCTTTACAATCGTTAATTTGTTCTTTTTATTTGTTTTCTTCTCATTTTCCACAGAAGTGTTAATGAGGTTTCAGGATTGAAAGGTGCATTTGGCCTTTACTTTTATCTCCTGTTTTCTAAATCCAGTTTTATGGAAAAATGATAGAAGCAATTTTTGACTGTTTTCCACTCAGAAAGTCTAATCCCATCGCCATACTCATTATTTGCATTTCAAAACCTGCCCAAGGGGCTGCTACTGGCTCCAAGAATATTAAGTATGAACTTCTAAAACAAATAGGTGTTATGAAGTTACAGTTTAAAATCTTCAATTCCTCAGTGAAAATCGTCTCTTATTTTGCTCGTTTGTGCTCTTTCAAGGTTTTTATTGGGTGGAGAATATTCGGCATATTTTGCTCTCAATTTGCAGCTTACTTAGACCGAATTCATTCTTAAATAGAGCACACTAATCGTATTTTTAAACAGTTTGTAAATGAACTCTCACACATCAAGCTGTTGCAAAAGGGAGTTTAAAATGTAGTCGAAGGCTTTAGCCGGAGTGTCTCCCATCTGGATAAAAAGAATGATGGACAGTATGTGCAGATGAAGACGAGCCTCCAGAGATATTATGTCACACTCCATTGAGACAGATGTGAAAATTAAATTTATCAACATGTTGACAGTTTCTAGAATGAATGGATTTTCTTGTAGAAGAGAATCAAAAATATAGTCTAACCGTGTTCCTGAGGTAACTAAATGTTGGGATATTTTCTCTCACTGATGTTTTACAGAGCCAAGAGTAGGCACAGTATAAAAACACAAAGTGTAAAAATGGCTCAGAGTGTGCCAAGAAAATATCCCCACACCATTAAACCACAAAAAAGGCCGATACAAGGCAACATGCATCCATGCTTTCGTGTTCTTTATACTAAACTGTGACCCTACCATCCGAATGAGACTCCTTGGTGAGCTGGCGTGAACTGTAGCCTCCGTTTCCTTTTGTTAGCTAACAGGAGTGGCAGCTAATGGTGTGGTCTTCTGCCTCAAGGTCCGATGTGCTGTTGGTCTTGGTTATGATGAGTGGTAGTTTGAGTTACTGTTGCCTTTAGCTCAAAGCCATCTGGCCATTCTCCTCTGACCTCTGACATCAACAAGGCGTTTTCTTTGGATATTTTCCCTTGTTAAAGCTAGTTGTGTGGGAAAATCCCAGCAGATCAACAGTTTCTGAAATACTCAAGTCACTTAAATCACTTAAATCAAACAGTTGCTCATCTTCTTCAAAGGGATGACAGTGAGCGCCTTGAAAGACGGTTTGGGGATGTTGATCCGCAGCATAATCCACGGAGGATCCATTAGCCGGGATGGACGTCTCGGGGTTGGCGATCTCATCCTGGCTATCAACGGAGAGCCCACTGCCAACCTGACCAACGCCCAGGCCCGCGCCATGCTCAGGAGGCACTCTCTCATTGGGCCAGATATGGGGTAAAGGCTATAATCTATATACACGTTTATGCGAAACAATAGCATGCATTATGATTTCAATGAGACCATTATTGTGGCCAAAAATAACAGATTGCGGTTTGCAGTAATTCATTTGACTTAAATGTGAAGCTTATGCCTGTATCATTTTAAATTCAAGCGGTTAGTTTTCATTTAGCCCATATGCACATAATTAGTAATGTCTGGCATTACCGAGTGCATGAAATGATTATTAGCTCCTCTCAGCTATTTCTATGTAAGCCGCGTGGTAGAGTCCGTTTAAATGAGCCTATAAATGCAGAATACAGCAGGCTCAGTAGTTACTGACAGATTATTTTTTTAAAGAAATGAGCACTACTAAAGTTACACTGTTGGCCTGAAACCCTGCCCTGTGAAGGACTTGCCTTACAGGTAAATCGAATGTTGTATTTGACAAGTTCTGCTTGCTGAACTAAACTTGGCAGTTTGTTAGCTTCGGTGCATAAAAAAGCCAACTCTTCACATTCTAGATCTGCTTGTGCATCCGAGGACGATCTGTGCCCATTTTATGTGTGAGTATGACTAACTTCCATGCTGGTGGTCTTTCTGCAACAACAACAACAACAACAAACTCTCTTTCTTTCCATCTGCTGCCGACCTTCATGACAGTCTATTAGAGTTTTATCCAGACAGTTACTTACAGCAGAGTGCCAAAGCAACAGCGAAATATGACTATAGCTGCTAAAGATGCTGTTTTTAATGTCTGTCAGATACACCGAGTAGCATTTAAATAATAATACTGTGAAGCTGCGCACCAGCTTTAACAAATGTTTGAATTTTTATTCCTGTGACAACAGATCTGGATAAATCTTGATTGACTACCACTTTTTTTTTAGCACCTAACCTGCTGTACGTCTTCTTCTTGCTTCCATTGTGACTAACATGTTTAAACACCATAACGCACTGTTTTTCCTGTTTTCCCCTCCACTCATCATTCCTTTATAAGCTCTGCCACGTCTCTCACCGCCTGTTGTGATGTTCTTAATGAACTGACTCATCCGTTTCATTATTTCATTCATTTTCCTCTGTCTGCATGCCATGTATTTTTTTAAAAAAAACACACACAAATCAAAATCAACCCATCTGCTGAAGATCTGTTAGCTTCACTCAGATGTGCTAATGCGCCCCCGAGAATCAGCCTCACTCTGAATTGTTGTGAAACGTCAGTTTGTCAGCTTTCTTTTGTTTCATTTCCTAAAGGGAGTTTGTTTGTGTTAATAATAGAGCCATCAAATTTGTTCCACGTCGGTCACGCAGTAGGTGATGCAGGACTTCGAAAGCGTCTCAACCTCGTCACAGGGAAGTTTTTTGCAAATAGACTGAGGTCAGTTTTGCTGCAGTCTCGTTCGTGAAGTAAAATCTGATGCAGGGACAACGGCTTCTAAATGTAAATGAGCAGGTTTAAAAGTAGCTGTTTTGTTTAATGAAAAGGTGGCGGCGGGGGGTAGCTGTAAGGATTTGGTTCCAGTTTGCACTTGACTGCGTGTTCTCCTCTATTTTTGTTAAATTACTTTGTGCTTTTGCAATGAATGGGGGCATAATTGCCAATAACGGTGAGTAATAGGGTTTATAAATATGGAGGCCAGGTTGTTGTGTAGTTTGTGAATATCCACTCATTCATGTGTGTGTGTGCTTATGTTTATGTGTGTGGTGGGGGGGTTCAGCATTACGTATGTCCCAGCTGAGTATCTGGAGGAGTACAAGGCCAGCCTGGAGCAGCCTAAAGACGACATCTTCACTGACGCAGCTCCAGTGGCAGCTCCAGCGCTGAAGTACGTCCCCCTGCCACAGTGATACTTGTTATGCAATTTGCAGGCAAACCTAAAGGTGAACAGACAAATGTTTATATGCGGAGCCTCTTTTCTATTTTTAGAGAAATTCCCAACCTCCCCGAGCGCGAAGACGGAGAAGGAGAAGAAAGCGCATCTTATAACATCTGGAACCAACCGAGGAAGTGTGTGAACACAGACACATACACATGTGTACCTGACCTTTTGATTCAATTTTGTACACGTATCAAATGTCACAAGGTTTAAAGTGAAAACTCTTGCAATCCCTTATTGGTACCTTCCTCAGAGTGGAGCTTTTCCGAGAGCCGGGCAAGTCCCTGGGGATCAGTATCGTCGGTGGCCGAGGGATGGGCAGCCGGCTGAGCTCTGGAGAGGTGATGCGGGGCATTTTTATCAAGCACATCCTGGAGGACAGTCCTGCTGGACAGAACGGGACTCTGAAGACTGGGGATCGAATTGTAGAGGTAAAGGGACTTTTTGTGTCACAGAACAATCGATGTAATTTATTCGTTTGGACTAAAGTGCTCAAATGTTTGAAATAAATGGCTAGAATTTTTTTTTTTTATGCTTCCTTCAGGTGGACGGAGTAAACCTAAGAGATGCTAGTCATGAGGAGGCAGTGGAGGCCATACGGAGGGCAGGGAACCCTGTCTCCTTCCTGGTCCAGAGTATTATCCAGAGGCCCAGGGTAAGTCTGTATATTAGCGTCTGCTTCCCAGTAACTACCTCGTAATGTAAAGGTCACAATATCCTCACTCTGCAGCTTCTTTTTTGTTACCTCGTGTAAAACTTTTGTGTTTCAGCACAGGCCGTTTAGGGCACTTTCAAAAAGCTAACAGGTACCGTATACGACCCCTTTATTGTCCTGGGTTGTCTGTACGTTGAAAGTAAATGTGAACTCTTTTATGGAGCGACAGCAAACCCTGCCTGGCATATTAAATGTATTAGCGTGTTTTAACCTTTAAGAGCAGCGCTGAAACAGTGTATCAACAACACCGTTTGTTGCTTGAAAGTGCCCTCAGGCCTTTAAAGCATGACTAAATCGTTTCCTGCTGAGGCTGCTACTGGCGTGGCTCCAGTGTCAGATCTCCCTGCTTTCATCACCTTTCACACATTAGGAGATAGTCCCTCATGCTTTCCTAAACATTCTGGTTACTCATTAAGCATACAACAAACCATAATCTTATGTAAAACAGGGGAAGGACACGAGGAGGGCAAGAATGATATTAAAGCTGCTATGATCAGTGTTTTTGGAACAATGGCATAAGGGCCATTGACCGAACCTGACTTTGCAGTTCCCCTGAGCTCTGCGTGGATTTGTAGCATCATTTGATTTATTCTTTTGGTTTTCCAAACAGTAACTGTAGTATTTTGGGTAAGAGGTTCTCGGCCTTGTTGTCTTATTATTTTTGATATGTTTTTTAGCAGTTAGCTCGACAGTACTAAAGTTATTATCTAAAAAGTTAACACTGTTTAGAATAAACCTTTTAGCTTTTAGTTGCTAAAAGCTAGCTAACTGTCATGGTTGTTAGCTAAAGAAATACTGAAATACAATGTGCACTTGATACTAGCATGAGCTAGGCTAACAAAAACATTAGCAGGCTAATTCAGTAGCCTGCTAATATTTAATTGTTTAATGTTTAATTAGTGGCTGATTGTAACTTCAAAACAATACAATAAAAAAGAGACACGTAATTAGTTACCTTTTAACTATATGTCTTATTTGGTCAAAGTTACAGTACTGTGCAAAAGTCTTGAGCTTTTTTTATTAAAGACTTAAAAAACTGACCTTCAGAATCTTCAGACTTTTTTTTACGTGTTAAGCGACTTAACTTTGACCTATGAATTATTCAAATTAAAGACAAAGTAAGTAAAGGAAAGAACTGATGTTGTATCTACACGTGACAGACAACCTAGCAAATACAAATATAAATTCTTTATACTTTACACACGTTGTTACAAGCAGTCTGTCACAAAAACATACATTTTTAACAAAAAATGCCAACGAGATATTAACTGAAAGCTTGGCATATCTCAGCGTGTTGTGCAGTTTGTCCATTTTTTAGGAAACTTGAAAAGTGAAGAACTAAAGAAATACAAGGACAAAGCTACCTGTGTCTGAAAGTGTCTGAAAGTCAGCTTTTAAGAAGTAGGAAAAAATTAGGAAAAAACCTGAGAGATGCATCTGACCATTCACTTGATCCATCTACTGTTCACTGATGCCTCATCAGAAATGGTGTCAGTAGACGGGTGGCTGTCAATAATTCAAGGGAAACTGGGAGAAAAGGCTGAGTGTAATGCCAAATTACACAATCAGTGGCAACAGCGCAAATTTGAAGTTCTCAGTACAAATCATCTTAAATAAATAAATGGAGGAGGTCAAGAGAGAAGGACAACAGTATCTACAGGCATCTGTAAAACACACAGTGGAGACTCTGTCATGGCTTCGGGATAAATTTCAGTCAGTGGTGTGGGGATCTTGACAAAACTGATGGAATTATGACCGCAGAAAAGTACCATCAGATTTTGATCCACCATGCAATGCCATCTGGAAAGCATCTGCCTGAGAACAGCTTCATTTTTCAACAAGACAATGATTCTGGACACACTGCCAACGCAGTAAAAGCATACCTGGATTTAGAAACACACAATGAAACTCTATCAGTCATGAATTGGCCTCCCCAGAGATCAGACCTCAACATTATTGAAGCAGTGTGGGATCATCTTGAAAGAGAACAGAACAAACAGGCCGAAACATCCAAAGAAGAGCTTTGAATGTAATTCCTGATGATTACTTCAGGAAATGATTCACTCTGTTTACTCATTTTCTATTTTTGCTAGCAAAATGTAGGAAACATTTACACAGTACTGTATACCAAACTAGTTCTTTAAAGTACTCAGAACAGTTTTAAGTAGTTACTACAATATGAGCTGCCTCAACCTACATCTCTGTTCCTCTACATGGCGTTCTCAGCCTGAGTCAGTTTATTGCCCAGTTTCATCGCCCGCAGTAAAGAAACTCACCACCGCTTTCACACACATGCCACCTCGCACATGTCAGGTAATCTGTCTTTCTCTTTTTGTCTCCCTCATTTTTATTGCTTAAGCTATCCATCACACTTTATCTTAGTTGCATTATCTGCACTCCCTACTCTTTCCCTTTGTCTCTCAGACTGGTGGCTGAGTCTTTCTTTTTATGTCCGTCTTTGACTTTGAAATAAACACGATGTGCGCATTAATGGAAATAAAGCAGAATTCTAAATTCCCTCCAGGAGAAAAAGAACTGAATCATTTGTTTAATGTCAGCGACCCCAAATGCTGCTTTTAACCAAGCGCTAAAATCAATGTGGCCACTATTTTAGACACATCTGTGGTGAAGGTGAGCTTTGGTGACATTTATTGCACATGCACACTAGATTCTAACCACGGGGCTTATTAAAATTTAATTGATACCTCATATAAAGATGGTCATTATCAACTCTACAATATCAGGGTTGCCAGCTTTTTGTGGGAATAGCACAGCTGGCACTTTTTATCTTTATATCAGCCGAAAAATCTTTTGTGCTGTATTGTAGGGCATACTGATAGACGAACGTCAGCCACCGCCTTTTTAGTTTTGTCTTGTTTTGAGCTCTCGAGTTAAGGATTTTGGTCCTCTTTGGCCATTTCTTTTATAAAATCGGGGTGATATGCATTTAAGAACTGAGGATATATTACCACACCCATATATCTGTGTATTTTACTCTAAATGGGCCAACATTGTGTTGTATTACGCTAGCAATTAAGTATAAACCCATCACTAAAATAGGTACTGCACTATTAAATCCAATGCACAGGGAGGTCATTTCATCATAGACTTCTAAACAACTGGACTGCTTTCGATAGCCAGAGATGTCGCCCCCTGTTGGCCATTAAAAAGAATACATTAGGCTGCCTCCATTTTTGTATACAGTCTATGCTAAAAACATATAAAACCTAGACGGAAAAAAAAGTCTGCACGTAAAAAGCCGAGGGCATATTGAAGGCATAAAAACATTTTCGTTTTAGTTTTTCATCCAGTTGCTTTTTCGTTTTCTTATTAGTTTAATTATTAAAAAGGTTGCAGCCGTGTATATATATTTTTCCTCAGAAATGGCCTTAAATATAAACTAGCCGATGAATAATTAAGTTGCCGCCATTGCTGTTAATGTGTTCAGGAACACATCCAGTGATACAAGGAGACATTATTAGCAAGGCTCATTAGTCAAACTTGCTGGAGAATCTGTTTAAATCGACCTCGTGGATGGTAATATATGTGGATTTGAGTTATGATGGGTGAAAGTCTGTATATATTTAAAAAATTAGATTTTTCCAGGGGATTTAAGTTGGCAACCCTGAAAGTATAAGAGAAAATAATAAGGGCATTAATTGTGGCTCTGCGGCTGCAGGAAGACGTTCTTCTAATTCACTCCAGAGTCACTGGGGTCAGCGCTGAGTGCGGCTAAAGTGAAATCCACGACAATAAACCGAATCATGAGATAAATACCATTTTTAATGGATGATATATCTGAGCAGTGGAGTCCGAGCAGTAGTAGCTGTTTTAAAATGCAGCCACCGAGGGCCACCTAAGAGAGCACAGTAACTACATCTGTGCTGTTTCCCTTGAAGTTTCAAATCACTCTGTTGTAAGCAGTGAATAATCTCAAGGTAGCCCGGAGGAGTCTTTGAAACATTTACGCTTTCAGAGAGCGAGAGGCTTTCTTCAGTTCCTCCACGTGAAGGAAATATCCGTCTTCGAGGAACCTGTTAGTTAAACGTTAATGATTTCAATCTCTCTCTGTCTCCTCAGTTACCTTTGATTAAATTTTGTCAGAAAGGCTCAGACATCATCTCTAATGTTTGTCAGCTTGTCGGTCTTGTGTTGCTTTTAGAAGCCACCCCTGCCCTTCCTTCAGCTAAATAGCCACAGCGGGTCGAGCCTTCGCTGCACTCGTCAAACCTCCCTGCCTCAGGTTAGAAACCTAGCCTGCGTCTGCTGTGTCTCCTCGCGTTTGTGTGGGCGTGTCTTTCGTTTGGACCTGCGTGCAACTTGATTGGACCTGTTCGACACGGATACTATTTTCCAACCTGTGCACGATGCCTGTTTTTAAATTTACCTCTGATAGCAGGTGTTTATATTCATTTTCTGTCTCTGTAACTTTGCTTTCTTTCCCATCTGTTGCACCCGCAGAAAGTGAAAACGATAGTTGAGGCTTTTACTGTAAGTGCTTTTTCTTCTTCTTCTCCTTTTCTTTTTAATTTTTCTCCTGTCATCAGCTTTGAAAGGCGATTTATTCAAATTACCCCTCCAACATCGTCCCGAGTGCCTCGTTGCCAATGTAAAAAAGACAACTTGATTAGACGGTCGGCAGTCAACACAAATACTGTTGTGTGAAGAATTATAAACCGCAAGTTTCTGGCAAACAAAGAAGAAAACATTTCAAGCTTGATCATTCAAGAAATCGTCGAGCTTGGACGGGCGCGCGGTGCTGGGCACGCTTTCCTCACTCGACACATCAGTGTTTTGGCATGTCCGAGTGTTTGTGTGCTTTCAGTTCTCGGCTTTGCCAAGCTTCAAGTTAGCAGAAGCAGTGAAAGTTTTGCCTTTATTTGAGAAATGCGGATTTCCAAAACAGATGGTTTATCATAACACAGCATACCGAGCACAGCTTTAGTCATTCCGAACACTTAAGACTTAGCGTGGACCCATTAATATTTATGGGATTACTGCCCGTGCGTCGCACCGCACTGTGATACAGTATCTTTCACTATCTGGTGACATTGAAGTGGATGTTATGAATTTGCTGTCCATACGTGACGTAAATTAATTTCAAAGTCCTTTTTTGTTGTTGCTATCTGGTGCAGAGTAGTGATTTACCTTCATGTCTGTCTTAAATGCAACAGTCATCGATAACAGACTCGAGTGAGGAGAGAGCTGCTGCAGCCGCAACAAGGGACAACAAGGACAAGGTTGGTACTTCTAATTACCGAGCACGCAGAGCGCCTATCAGTGTTGTTGTGTTTGTTGTCAGATTTCAGTAGGTGTCGCTCACGGCGTTAAAATAGATTCAGTAAAAAAAAAACAACTTTCACCATAAACTCGAGATATGTTGTCGACGCAACGCTGGCACACGCCTTTGACTTGACCTGTCAGAACGATGCTGTCTGTTAAAGTTGCCCTTTTTGTCTTCTCCGTAGGAAGGTGACAGTCACAGTAGACTTTTCCTCCGCCTCTCCCCAACTAACCCTTTCACTCCTACCCCGTTTAAGGTTCGTGGGTCTCTGTGTTGTGCTTTCCACCTTCCATTTCCGTGTATGCTTGCACGAATATGTCAGCGTGTCACACGGCAGCCCGTGAATCGGAGATGTCCTGACGTGCTATACATGCATATGCGTGGCCTAACGCCTCCACCGTCCGACTTCCTGTGTGTGTGTTTCTTTTTGTGGAATCGTGAACATCTTTCTTCCTTTACTTTAGTTTTTGCCTTTTTGCTTTTAGTCCGTTTTCGGAAGCGTAACAGAATCAAAACTCTGGTTTTAAATGGATGATTTTGAGTTTCGAGCATTATATTTAAGATCAACAATGAATGAAGTGATCAGAAGTCAGAGTTGTTACAGGTAAGTGCGCTTATGAATTACTGATGGGTGAATATTTTAAATTTAGAGATGATCATTAAATTAATAATTATATAGTAGAGATCAAAATTTACTGTAACACCAGTCGTCCACTTAAAAAAAAAAAAGAATGTGCAGCGACCAAGCCCATCATCGGGAGAAGTAATCACAAGGCCACAGAGGGACACATCACATGGACGGTGAAGAAGAACTGTAGTGATGACAGCAAGGTTCAGTTTCGACGCGAGGTTTTATGTTCGGGGTCAAACGGGAGCAGAGGGGGGTCAGTTTGGAGGACGGGGCTTCATGGTTTGGTGCTTGAGTAATGTCTATGAGAAGCTTCTACGCCAACAGAGTCAGCCAAGACTTTCTATGGAGGCCGGTGCCTCTTGTCACCCCGTGAAACAGAAGCACTTGTTGAATGTGAGAGCATTAAAATAATGCATGATGGCTAGCCTGGAATCCTGATCCTGAACCTAGCTGTGGCTATGAAAGTCAAGCAGTGGCTAAACTGTGGACAAGACCAAGATCAAACCAGAGCAGTGTGGGAAATTGATAACAATCGTTGTGTTGTGTTAGTTAGTAGTGTTACAGTCATTTAGAGAAAAGGCCCCCCCCTACAAGAGACCTGCTGGTATACTGGCCCAGCGTATTAGCCAGTATTAGCTATTTGCTAACTCCATCGCTCTTGTTCATGGATTTTGTTACATTTATTAGAAGAAGCAGTGACTTAAATACAGGACATTTAGGCATGTAAGGTGTTCTCTAATTTTGATCTCTGCTTTTCATTAAATTAAAAAGAAAAAGTAGCAAAAATACACATGTTGGTGCGAGCTGGAGTAGTGCTGCTATCCCAGTGGTGATCAGAGCTCATAGAATCAATAACTTCCAGCTAACGTACATGTAAAAGGAAACCAAGCATATGGCTTCTTGTTGATTGCATCGGCGCCTTCCTCTCGCTGTGAACCTGACAGCCAATTGATTTAAACATTAATGGAGAGATGAAACCTTCTTTATCTTCTTTACCTTTCACTCATCAACTGTTTTCTGCCTCCATCTGTGGCGCGACAGCTGGCGAAGCGTGAAGCGGCAAAGGCATCTCCCACCAGCGCTGTCCTCACCCTGCCAGTGGTGCCTCATGTGGGAGAGACTGATACAGACACGCTGACAGAGATTCCTGGCAGTCCTGCTGAGACTGCTGAGGAGAAAAAGGAGGAGGGGGAGGAGCCCGAGGACGAGTACGGATATAATTGGAGTGAGTTTAGTTTGTCTGGTTTTTATTGTGTTTTTTGCAGTAGGGTGTTTAATTTTGCAGTGAAATATCACAAGGTTGTAAATGTTTGATGTAAATGTAATCCTGCATCACATACAGCAGGAATATTTTAACCCAGTTTGTAGTGGGAGGAAGTAAAAATATATGCTTACATACTACACTATGTAGTAACAGCAAATGGCCACAAGAGGTCCTCCAAGTTACATGTCTGCCCATAAAGTCTCCTGCATGGCATAAACGTGCACTGATTCACATGCTTGAGCTGGTTGTGCCTCAGCAAAAACCTGAAGGACTCAGTGTCCCAATTAGGCCATTATCATCCTGCAGACACTCTGATGTCAACTGTAGGATGAACTCACTGCTCCAGAGAGAAAGATGGCGAGCAATCAGCATAAAGAACAGCCTCCAAACACCTGGGATTGTGGAGTATATGTGTATATGTGCCCTTGTGTGTGTGTGTGTGTGTGTGTGAGAGCGAGATAGACAGAGCCCATCCTGCAGGAATAAGATTGATGAGGTTGAGCCCGGGGAGGTGAGTTGTGGAGATTAGTACAGGACTGATGGTTCAACAGTGGCAGGGAGCCCAGAACAACAGGAGCCCACTGGTCTGAACAGTGGCTATCTAACACACCAGAGACAGGAGAGGTGGAGAGACAAAGAAAAGAGACTGGAACCAGAACAAAAGAGCCAAGATTGAGACAAAAATGGGAGAGGGTGAAGCTGAAATAGAAAATTCTGCTGACAAACTTCTACCTTTTACTTTTGGTTCCTCTGCAATTTACACATTTCAAATATCTGCTCTTCTTTCGGGAAACGTTACACGGAGCGATAGGGCTCGAGACCAGTCTGGCGCTATTTTACTTGTATTGTCAGCTTACATCTGTCTGCCGCGACTTCCCCTGCCTCTTTCAGAGAACATAATCCAGCGTTATGGCAGCCTCCCAGGTGTCCTCCACATGATTGAGCTGGAGAAAGGCAAAACAGGCCTGGGCCTCAGCCTGGCAGGGAACAGGGACCGCTCACGCATGAGCGTGTTCGTGGTGGGAATAGACCCCAGCGGGGCGGCCGGCAGGGACGGACGTATGGTTGTTGGGGATGAGCTGCTGGAGGTGAGATGCGTATAAAATTAGTTTCACTGTTCATTTGCTTTTTTTTTTTTTTTTTAAAAAGTCTCAAATTCTGTAAATGCTTTTCTGAGCAATAAACTTTATGTTGTGCTACAGATCAACGGACAAGTTCTGTACGGCCACAGTCATCAGAACGCGTCCTCCATCATCAAGAGCGCTCCATCCAAAGTCAAAATCATCTTTGTCAGGTATCAACAGTTATTTTCATCACTATTAAAGCTCCTGTGAAACTATGCATGCAGTTATTGAGCCTCAGGAAAGTTATTGTAATGTTAGTGAAAAGCCAATAGATGGAGCTATTGTCATTCAACAGAAGGATGCAGCACAGGTTGAATATAATGGCCTCTGTTCTGTAATGCTTAATAACACAGTCTCTCACATGCACATACCAAACGTATACATGCATTCATAAAGTATAGTTTAACTTGAAATATTTTGTAATCAATAAATATTAATAAAAACTATATTAAACCCATCACACCAGCTGGCACTTGGCTGATGATTGTGAAGGTTTTCAGATTTAGTGGTACACTCACTAAAATATACAACATTTCTACAGCATACAGATGATATTTATTTAGATATTTATTTTATTTAGTTACCAAAAGAGATAAAGAGCAAAAGTTGAACGTTAGTGACAAATATAAATAACAGACTTCCAAAGTAAATCCATAAACTATATTTTAATTTAATATTTAGTGGTCAAAAAGTGTAAAATGTGCAAAATAGCTTGCTTAAAGCATGGCTAATACGTCACACTGTTAGCTAGTAATATGGGCATAGACAGTCTAAGCTTGCCAGCTAAAAATATGAGATATACTTAGCTTGAATTATTAATAAAAACCAAAAAAAAACAATGAAAGTTATCAAACAAATGTGAATTAAAATAGTAGTTTATATTGTTAATTTAGATATCTACATGCAGACACGATGGAAAAATGTATTTGCGAGGAAATGCGTTTTAAATAGTTAGTTAAAAATATAGTGACAGTGACTGTAAATATAGCTGGAGTACGAAGCTAGAATTAGGGCTAAAGGGAGAAATGCAAATGTAGTGCAGTTCTTATCAGAGAGTGTATCCCTCCATAGTGTAGGGGTTGATGTCTAGCAAGCAAAAGCTGCCAGGATGCGATACCGATACCTTTGGGGCCTAGAAAGGCATCTACTGTAACAAAATCAAGTACGTAGATCTACGTGCTGTACTGACCCCTGCTTGTGAATAAGAGAGCAGCTACAGAGTTGAGATAGTTGACATGATGTTGTTAGGCTGTGTGAATATTTACTAAATAAAATCTACTTTTTGCATGTTAATCTAGAAGTTTTCACATTTTGGGAAACATAAAATAAAGATTAAGTATGTCTCCATTTACCCCATCTCCTCCTTAACGGGTGGGCCAATGAAACGGCACAAAACGTTGCAAATGCAGCGCTTATTAACATGAAAATGATTTCGATTTTTATATGTATTATGATTACTTTATCATCCCCCTGCGATTGCGATGTTACATTCTCCGTTTGTGTTGGCGTTATGTCTCAAATTCATCGTATGACACCAAAGGGTAGAATTACAAATTTGAAAAAGCACCGTGGAAGTTGAAAGTAGTCAAATGTAAAAGGTGTTGGTGCAGGAGTTGTTGAGTCGGTCAGCTTTGGGAGTCAAACAGATGTAGTTAGCATGTAATACGGATACATTAGCTCACATATCCCTACAGAGTTTGACGTATTTGACCTTTGACCTACTTTTGGCCCTCTTCCGGATCACAGTACTTAGCCTCCCACTTGACTCACATCCTTTTCCTGAAAGATACGCTGTGATCAGCTGACGTAAATCACAGCTCTGCTGTCACAAAGCTGAGAAGCGACGATTTACGTGAGTTCTGACTGTGTGAAACAGGAACACCGAAGCGCTCGACCAGATGGCGGTGGGACCAGTGAGGGAGCACGAGGGAGACGCTGTGGAGCCCCACGCTGAGGTACAACTCTGCTTATGGGCACGCATAGAAAACACACGATGCACACATGCAGAAGCCCTGGAACAGACACGACTCCTACAGCTACTACACAGCCACGTTGGTGCTTCGTAATGAGATTTTAAACGTGTAAACAGAACCATTACTTTTACATCTGGGCGTGTAATTTGGCTTTTAGTCTGTCTCGTGCTCGGCACGCATGCATGTGAAGTTTCTTTGTGTGGTCCCGTGCCTGTGTGTGACTCCCAGTAAAACAAACCACAAGCAGTAATGTAGACGCATCCGGCACTGTACTCCCACCAGCTAAAATTTAGCTGATTTATTTACTTCATGGTGTGCTCACTACTCCTGCTCCTTCACAGCCAGAAGAAGCTGCTGCTAATGGCGACGCCGATACTTCGAACTACGTTCATCACATCGTAAATCTGAAGGTGAGAGGCGCAGGATGACCCGCGGACATCGCAAAACACACAGCGTTACAGGCAGTAACGGGGAGAAAGTCTCAGGAACAGTGCGGTAATGAGGGAGGTGTATACTCTTACGCACACACACTAAATAAGCCAGCGGGGCACGTCAGAGACAGACAGATCGGGAGCACACCACTCAAGTTTGACAGGATGCCAAAACGCTGAGAAAAGACAGAAAATTTTGAGGGAAAAGAAGGTGAAGTAAACAAAACAGACGTTCCAATGGGAGTTAAAGGCTCGGTTCACTGAAATATTAAATAAGGAATGGATCCCGACTCCTTGTGGGGTCCACGTCCTAGCTCGCAGAAAGCAGGCAGTTTTCCAAAGGTCATTGTCTGATCCTCTGAGCAGCAGCGATAAAATTGCATCCAGTTGCACAACACGAGCGGAAGCAGAGATCTCAACATTAGACATCTCACCACCTCAACAAATAAAGGAAACTTTCTACAAGATCAGTTACAACACGGATCAAGTGGGAACATGCTTTTCAGGCAGATTCAGGTGAAGTTGGCCTTTGAAGAGCGCTAAAACAAACTGCAAAAGAGACAGGAGAGAGGAAAAACTATGCAATCCCTACAATTGTTGAATCATTCATGCGGTAGAGGTGGCAACAGTGTAGCACATAGGCAGCTCATTAATATGAAGACAAATGCCCTGAAAGGCCTCTCTGGGAGCAAAAGATCAGAAGTGTGAAGGATGTGAGCTGAAGCTGGGGCTGATTCATCTCTGGAGGCGACTTGATTTCTTGAACTGGTACAGTACGGCTCCATTACCCAGCACGTGTTAAAGAAAAGGGTTTGTCAGCGTGGGTATTGCGTGTGCGGTGGTGCAATTTCAAACGTTTTTTATCACTAATGAGCGTTTCTCTTCATCAGGAGGACGGAGGACTCGGCATCACTTTTGTTGAGGGCGACACAGAGGCCGGGGTTGAGATTGAGAGTATATCTGAAGTGCAGGGACACACCGGCAAAGTATGTCATGCCTAATGAGACCTTCTGTACCGTGGACGTTTAGCTGCCTTTGCTAATCAAAGCTGTTTATGCGCTGTGAGCAGGAGGGGTGCATGAAACCTGGGGACACACTCTTAGCTGTGAACGGCGAGTCTGTGCTCGGATACACTGTTGAAAAGGTAAGGGCGTTACTCTGGAAATAACCTTTCATGTCTGTGCTGTTTATTAGTAGCCACAAGGTGAAAGGTGTGATTGGTATTCTTGTTTTTTTAGGTCTCATCACTGCTGAGAAAAGCCACAGGTCCTGTGAAGCTAACCTTTGCTACAAAGGAGATCCCCTCTTCTTTCTCCTGTGTCCAGTCGATCTGCCAGGACGCAAGCTTTTCAGATGGAGTCCTCGCTAGCGTACCCAGCATGCCTAGCATCTTCCCAAGTCAGCCAGAGGCGGAAGCAGCCACCAGTGAGTTCGTTTTACTTGGTTTTAATTTTCTAGAACTGTATTGTCAGTTTTGTCAGGTGAAAAGAACAGACATGCTTCTCCGTTTTAGGTCTTAGTCGCTCATCCACCCCTTCCGCTCTGGCCTCTGACCCGACGACCTGCCCCATCATCCCCGGCTGTGAAACAACCATCGACATCTCCAAGGGCCGCACAGGCCTGGGCCTCAGCATCGTGGGAGGCTGTGACACTCTGCTGGTAGGAAACCAGACAAATAGCAGTAGCAATCAGCTAATGAGGGGGAAAACGTGAGCTGGTCTCCCTGATGTGCTTAGATTTAGTCAATAATAATAATAAAACGTGACTCTTTTCCACAGTTTGTTTTCGTCTTGTCTTCCTGGGTCTGTCGGGTGTTTCTTCCTGTGGAAAGGGAGTTTTTCCTTCCCACTGTCGCCCAGTGCCTGCTCGCAGGAGGGTCCTCATATTGTTGAGGTTTTCTCTGTATTATTGTATCCACTACAAAGCGCCTTGAGGCAACTTCTGTTGTGATTTGACACTTTATATAAATAAACTTTTATTGATTTGAATAATAACAAACAGTAAATCTGCAGGTTTAGCTGTGCGTTCCCAGCCACAATGCCACCCACTTAGATTCTTTGCTGGTAGCATAACTCATAAGCCACGGAGGCTCAGGAATGTAGGAAACGATGCTGTCACGGCCTTCGTCTCCTCCTCCTCTTCTTCTCGTTGCCTCTGCCATCCTCCCCTCGTCCCATCTATTCTGTCTGCTCAGTCAGGCTTGGGGGAGCAGCTCTTTGTCTGGCCTCAGCCGTGGCGGACAACGTCCTGCCCCTGGAATGCAACCTCAGGAGCACAGGAACACACACATTCACAGAAGCAGTAATCCAAATTTATGTCTGTTTGCCAACAAACACACACAAAAAAATTTGCTGTGTACACATACTTTAAAAAGTCAACAAATACTCTTTCCCCTCCCGGCCCAATCTGTTTTGTATCCATTTAATATCCTCCAAATAAATGCTAAATGTCTCCCTTCCATCTTTTTTTTTTTGTTTTGTTTTGTGTGTTTTTATTTTGTCCTAATTAACTCACTTTTTCCACGCTCTCTCTCTTTATCTCCAGGGGGCCATCATTATCCACGAAGTTTATGAAGAAGGGGCGGCCTCCAAAGATGGGAGGTTATGGGCAGGAGACCAAATCTTAGAGGTGAGCTGCAGCATAATGAGCGTAACTATATTTCGATGAGACATGCCCGAAGAGTCTCAGCATGAACGCTTGGATTTTTAAAGTCTGACAATACGATATATGTTGAGCAACAGCATAGATATATATTAACAGCAATAAGAACCTCTAAAAGCACCGCTTTTTGCTTTTAGCAAGATAATATACCGCAGACTGAGGCGATTATGAGTGAAAAGTGAAAGAAAACCTGTACAAATCCCGTGTGCATTATGCGCCTTGACAAGTTAAGCACCCGAGCTCTTACTTGGGTTTGCCCTCCGTCTGACCCCGTGCTTTGTCACGGAGAGAGGGCAGGGGTGGAGCCCGGGAGTTGAGTTATTGTAGCTCAATCACTAGATCTGAATTGAAACACACGCCCTTATGACTTAATAGCTCTCCACTATTCACTCCTGTCCCTGAGCCAGGCTGCTGTGTTTAGAAAATAAGGTCAGCGAGGGAAAGTGAAAAGAGCAGTTTCCCACTCTGCAGTCATGCCATTAGATACTATGGGGAAAAAATAAAATCCACTGCGTGTGCACGGTGAAAGATAATATGGTATTTTCCCTCCTTTAAATGTGGTTTGAAAAAAGAAAAGAAGAAAAGCTGGGCATCGCTCTTAGACTGACCACTGGAGCATCTCACAGGGGTTTGTGGGAAGGTTTCCCTGCTGTACTTTAAGTCAAGCATCAGCCTGTGATTTCAAAGGAATGACCTAGTTTCCTTATATCTAAAGCAGAAACAGTTTAAAGGAAACTTTGTGCAATAAATGAGGCTGTTAGAACTTTTTATATATAATCCTCCGCTGCAGTTAACTTATACACTGGAACAGAAGATAAGGCCTCTGCTACTTTAACCAAATATGGCCGAGCGAGTAGCTGGATCAAAACCTACGCACGCATTCTCTCATCACAGGTGAACGGCATCGACCTGCGAGCGGCCAGTCACGACGAAGCCATCAACGTGCTGCGGCAGACGCCGCACAGGGTCCGGCTGGCGGTCTACAGGGACGAGGCCCAGTACAAGGAGGAAGACCTGTGGGACTCCTTCACCGTGGAGCTGCACAAGAATCCCGGCCAGGGCCTGGGACTGAGCATTGTCGGGAGGAGGTGGGAACGTTGTTAGAATCAGCTCTGCTGCTGAGAGCGTCAGGCGACGAGCCTTTACATATAACAATAGCAGAGTAGTGACTCCACTAGGTGCTTTCTGGCTCACAGTAGGTGTTAGCGTGTTGGAAAATACATAGAAGCAAACAAGGAATTGAAAACATTCTAGATTTTTGAAATGTAATTATCAGCCTACTTTATAATTATATTGTTTTGACCTTTTTTAATGCAGATCGCGGGATCAGAGGTAACCTTTTGTATTTTATCTGTTTTTATACTCCATAGTTGGGAGAGTGAGGTCATTGCTTTTACTTCTATCATGTTTCTGTCCATGCAGCCATCAGTTAAACCAGTTTTACGTACCAACAAAAGTCATTGTGTTTGGTGTAAGCACGCAGATTAAGTAAAATCCCTTCTTTCCCACACGACATGTCTGTTACAAAGACATGAAATCATTATGTTTTTTTCAGCAGGAAATCAAAAAGAGATCATAATTTTTTTACGTGTAGCTTGAACAGATCGTGGCTAAATGAAGGTTTTTTTTCTGCGTGACTGCATTTTCATATGAGTCAGCAGAACAGGTTTGTATTTCAGTCATTCTCCTCGGTACTAGTGGCGGTTCTCGCCTCGCTGTGTTACCAGAGACGGAGCTGAAAGCACTTGTTGCGTCAGCGTGAAAATCCCGCTATTGTTGCTAGCACTCGATCAGCAAAGGCAGATTTACAAAGTTATCACTGGGATTAGAGCAGGCAGGTTGCGGAGCGTCTATAAGCCCTCTGGATTTCTGCGTGCCTGTAAATGTTTTATGCTGACAGATTCGGTCCCGTGGTCGAAGTTTGTGAGGAGACAGGGGTCAGGGTTAAATATCCCAAGCTAGTGTCAAAGGTTAAACAGTTTGGACAGTTTTTAACACAGTTGTAACATTTCGGCCTCTGTCACAGTGGTTTTGCTACACACGTGGCAAGAAAAAGGCTAAAATGCTCAAAAGGATGGAAAAGACAGGAGCCCAGACGACCTACGAGAAAGGAAAATATGCAAGCTAGCAGTTAGTGGTGAGCAGTTGTGACAGCCAAGTATCTCTGGCACCGAGGACTGAGTGGGATCAAGTTGCCTTGCTTCACAGCTACTGCTTGTGCTAGTTCTTATCCACGTGGAGATTGGCACCTCAGATATGCAAAGTCCACGGCTCAGATGTGCTTCTGAACAAAGAAGAAAAGGCAGAGGCTTAAGATAAGTCATCTTTTCTTCCTGCACGTTATATTCTCGCTCACAGCGAGCGCAGAATTTGACTCTGTTGACCGTGAACCGAAGCCTCCAACAGCACAATACTGTCAAAGTGATCGCTGGTTAATATTCTGTTATACAAGCCACACTCAGGCAGCTCCATTGGAAAAGCCTGAAATTGCCAGATCAATACTGTACCAGCAATAACAAGTTAAAAAACAGAGCTCTGGAAAATTGTAGGATTAAGGTCAGCAATTTGAGAAAGGGGGCTTAGCGATCCTCAGCAGAGTGCTGCACGCGGTCACAGACGTGTCGTGCCTACTGCCGCGTCTCAGTCTTCCCGTCTCTCCGAGCAGGAACGACACAGGGGTGTTTGTGTCCGACATCGTGAAAGGAGGTTTGGTGGAGGCTGACGGTCGGCTGATGCAGGGCGACCAGATACTGTCGGTCAACGGTGAGGACGTCCGGTCAGCCACTCAGGAGGCCGTGGCTGCGCTGCTGAAGGTAGTCCCGCCCCGCATGCGCAATCGTCAAATGTGTGCAGGACAATTAAAGACGAATAACCGTACAATAATGCCTGTGTGTTGTGTTGCAGTGCTGCGTGGGATCTATCAAAATGGAAGTGGGGCGGTTTAAGGCGGGGCCCTTCCACTCGGAAAGAAGGCTGTCTCAAAGCAGCCAGGTAATGTAGCTGATGAGATAGTGGTTAAAATAGAAGTAGCTTATTTTTAACCCAATCATGCAAAATTACACTAGTAAAAAAATAAAGGCAGAAAATGAACGCTTTGGAGCTGAATAGAAATTCCTCTTATCTAATGCCTGACAAGAAAGCGCTCTGAATGCTTTTGTTTCAGATGAGTGAGACAGGAAGCGCCAAGGTGGTCTCTCAGCCATGTTCAGATCCTGGTGACCCTGACAGGCTTAGTACAAGCCAAGAATGTAAGTACGGCAAGACTGTAAGTGTAAACAAGCAGATCGAAATCCACTGCGAATGTCGGTCAAATTGCGGGAAAAGAAAAGACGAGTCATCAGAGCGACGCGTTTGTTTCAGACCCGGAGCATCAGGAAGTCAGAACAGTGGAGTTCACTAAAGGCCCCGCTGATTCTTTGGGCATCAGCATAGCGGGCGGAGTGGGCAGCCCCCTGGGCGACATCCCCATCTTCATCGCCATGATGAATCCCGTCGGACTGGCTGCTCAGACCCAGAATCTCAAGGTATGAGACCTTTTCTTGGCCACCTCCCTCTCAAATCTTTGGCTCTCATCAGAAATTATGCATATCTCCAATTCTTGTGTGGGATTTAATGCGAATCTCATTTATTTACTCCCACTCGCTCAGTGTATGTATTCTCAGCGGCTCCCAGAGGCCGCGAGCCCTTAACCTTTAGCTGTGACCTTCACAGAAAAACTGACAATTGAAACTGTGTTAGACTGAGGCTGGAGGAGGACAATAGCCATTTGCTAACGTGGATAATAAATCTCCCACTCCTGTATTAAGGCCATTAAGCCCACAGAAAGACTCATTGAAATGAATAGGGTGAATCCTGAATGGTATATTCATGCCGTTTTATCATTTCAGCCTGAAAGAGAAAAGAGAGCGCGGCGTAATGAAATTACTCAGCTGAACCGTGAATTTACGTTTTTTGTGCGGTCTAATAATGAAAGCACAGAAATCAGCAGTGACAGATGCGAGTTTCAGGCGGTGGGCACCGCTTTTATGACGCTGACATGCAGCAGGCTGCTCGAAACATCCAAACTGTTCTTTGGAAAGTGTGAAAAGTTTCTGCTGCACTGCACATCTGCACTGTTTCCCCCCCAAAATGTTCTAAACTCTCACTTTTTCAGATCGGCGACCGAATCGTCAGCATATGTGGAACCTCTGCTGAAGGCATGAGCCACTCTCAGGCCGTCGCCCTGCTCAAGAACGCGACAGGAACGATACAGCTGCAGGTCTCCTATAAACGTCTTCTCTCACCTCCTGTGTTTCTACCAGATAAATCGGCAGATAAGCTGCAGCTTGTGTCGTATTCTTCCCTTTATCTCTGTTCAAAGTGTTCAGCTGAGCACAGACGAGACAAAGGGTGGCGGTCACAGGCTTTGAAGCACCATAAAGCGCCCTCATCCAGCACTACCATCATGCTATCAGTCTTTATCTGGGCAGTAAATCAACGCCAGTATTACTATAACAGAGCTGTGTTCTGTGTCTGTGTGTTAACGCACCTCCAGGTGGTTGCAGGTGGCGACACCACCGTGACAGGTCCCCCTCAGGAGCAGGTCGGTGGGGCTCTCACGCCCAGCTGCATCTTCCAGGACGACCTCAGGTATGATGTTCTTAGACGCAGGGGCGCTCAGAGGAGGAGAACTACAGGTTGTTGCTTTGGTTTTCCTTTAAATGCCTTCTACCTTTTCCCTCAGCCCTCCTCAGTATAAGACCATCACTCTTGATAGAGGACCAGACGGGCTGGGTTTCAGTATAGTCGGAGGGTACGGCAGCCCCCACGGAGACCTGCCCATATATGTGAAAACTGTTTTTGGAAAGGTGAGAGGCGTTTATCTGTGCCACTGTTTATCTTTGCAGAACCGACAGCCTCTGTTATTGATGGTGTGCACACGTGTGTGTGTGTTTAGGGCGCAGCTGCAGAGGACGGGCGCCTGAAGCGAGGAGACCAGATCATGGCCGTCAACGGGCAGACTCTGGAGGGGGTTTCCCACGAAGAGGCCGTCAGCATTCTGAAGAGGACCAAAGGAACCGTCACGCTCACCGTGCTGTCATAGACCGCCCCCACCTCCACACGCACTATACCCACTCCTTATCCTCTGCTCACAACAGCATTCTCTTCACCTCCGCGCACCTTTTCTGCAAACTCGCAGCAGCAGCGAGGCGCTCGTCTGTGAAAGCACCCGCACACTGAAACACAAACAGTGTGATCATGAAGAAGCTTACGCCACTGTGATGTTTGAAGGCCTGTTACAAACACGTGTTGTGCTGAAGGCTTTACTTAGTCGTAATGGGAATCTCAACGAGGCTGTAAATAGTATTAGAAACATTCCACCACTCTGGATTTGAAGTATTCACTGGACACTTTGGATTGTGTTTAGTGCTGTCAGCGTTAATCCCGTTAAAATTACTTTATCGCCATAACGCGGGAAATCTCCGTGAGCGAGATTTCCCGCGGATCCCCACGAGCTAACCACATTAGCGCGGTTAGCTCGTTAACACGTTAGCGCTATCCAGCCCCACACACTGGGGGATACGCGCTAATTCGCTAACGGTGATTTGCCGCGTTAATGGCGTTAACGTCATTTTAACGAGATTAACGCTGGCAGCACTAATTGTATTCCTGTATTATTATTATTATTACTTTGTTAACAGTCTGAGGGGTGACCCCGGACTCAGTTCAGAGCACAGAATTAAAGAAGTACCCTCGAGACAATTAGGAGATTATAGCAGGATTTAGCTAACGCCTGCATTAGCTTAAAACAGCGTTATTTGTCCGTTGCGTTGCACTGCTGTCGGCACACGCCCGTTTCCGCCACAAAAACCCCCAAAAAGCAAGTATCCATAAATTTCAAGTTATTTTCTTGAAATTTCGACCTATTAACTCGAAATTTCAAAAAAAAGCATCCATGACTCGAAATTTCGAGTTATTTTCTTGAAATTTCGAGTCATGGATGCTTTTTTTGTTTTCCGTTAGTGGCGGAAACGGGCTTCCATACGCTGCTGAGACCGCTCTTAATCAAATGTATCGTGAAGTCACTGTAGTTTTTAGTTCTGAAGCGGCGAGAAGTCGGATATCGGAAACGTGAAGCGTGTTGACTTTTCTTTGAAGGGAAAGATGTGAAAGTGCGGCTTGAGTGTGTCTGTGTGTGAGTGTATGTGAGAGCCGTTCACTGAAATATAGTGCTGCTAAAGCTGATGTGTAAGGTGTTATGTCACAGTATTTTTTAAGTATTATTGTTCACTTCCTGCAAGTGCACAGAAAAGTAAACTGACTGCTATTTAGGTTTGTATGAATGAGTGGTTAAAGAGTCCTTTATGACCTTGTTGTTTACCCGAAACAGAGTCATCCATTCTGTAGTTTTCGACGTCATTGGACAGGTGTTGTGCAGCGTAGCGTGTTCTCTGTCTGTTCTCTGTCTTATATCCCCGTAAATGCATTTTCAAGAGCTGTCAAAAGTGACAGTATTGCATTTATTCACACTGAATTAAATAAAAGTGACCTTTGGATTCAATCAGCGTCCCAATTTTTCTTCATCTTGCACTTTATTGAACGTGAGATAAGAGTTCAAACGCATTCTGTCATTAAATCCAGCAGGAATAGAAGCTTATCAAGCCATAAACGTGTGTTTATTAAATTAGCTATCGCATTTGAGCGGCGTGCCAACTTTTCAAGTGCGCCAGCTGTTGTTGAAACTGCCACCGAAGGGGTTATTGTGCCGCACTCATCCCGTGCTACAGCGATACATCAGCTATATAAATTTTCTATCTGGGAGAGAAGCGGTGTGCTGTCGCTGCAGGTCATGTTTAAATGAAAGGCGAACAGATCTAAGTCAGGGGATAAAGTAAGTTTAAATGAAAAGCGGCCTACGCATGAACAAAGATTTATGTGGAACAGCATGTATGGTCTTGCTTGAATAGAGTCTCTGTTGTCACTAGGGACCTAATAAAGCCTGGATAGAAAGAGACGAAGCTCTCCATTAAAATATGGCATCCCATCTGTCCACACGCTGACAAGCACAGCTGCTCCACAGCTCATGCACAGCCACAAGTCCTCTGTCTAATGAGGTCTGGGGGCTTTTTTTGGTTTCGGCGGACTCTCAGAGAAGAACATGGCGGGACTTTTCTTGTAGAAGTTCACGCGATCAACCATCGGGTCACTCCTTCACCCAGGCCCTCCCAGGTCAAGACCCAGTGCTTCTACCTGCAGCTGCTCCAAAGCAAACCCCAAGTCAGTCACCCCCTGCTTTCGACAGCTGAGCTTCCTCCCCCCAAAGCACCTGTTGTTTTAACTGCCCCCAGTGGGATTAGTGGTTTCTCCAGCCCTCCTCCAGGTTCAAGAGACCCTGCTTGGTTTACACACGGCTTGTCTGCACAAGCCTTTTAGATGCGGGATCAGGTGTTGCCGCTGTTCACGCTTGACATGAATGTATGGCCAAATGGTGTAACGTTCCACGACAATGGCGCTGAAGCTAAATCTCTCTTTTAAAAACCAAAAACATAAAAAGACTGAAGTATCAACATATCAGACAAATCTTCATTTGATTCTTACATGGGAAAAAAGACTTCTCTCTTGACCTCATAAATACGAATTATAACAGTTACATTATTTGATGTACTGTTGCATACATGTCGACTCCATGACTCATGTGTTTGACCCTGCAGCTTAGATTTGTCGATGCCTTTCAAACATTTCGGCGCTCAGTGTTACTGCCAGCTCCAGCGACGACTGAACGTTAAGCAGATAGAAACATAGTTTGTGAGTGGGCTCGGCAGCAGGCATTCCTCATGGGCAGGGAAGGCATCGGCATTACTGGAGGCCCTGGGGCTTCCAATGGCATGTGGGCCCCCGGACCCCACCACCACCATGCAGTTGGATGCATAGATAGTTTTTTTCCCAATTTTTTTGAGAAAAATTAATTTGTCCAAATCTAGTATCACAAAAGGTCCCATGCTAGATATAGTTCTGGAAACATTCATGCCTACATAGCAGTTTGAACAGATAAAGGAAAAATGTTAAAAAGTTAGTAAACAGAGTCTTTTTCTAACAGCTATTATGGGGCTCAGACATCTACGTGAGTTATCTAACTGTAAAGCTATCACTGAGCGCTCACTTAGTTGAAGTGTGAAAAATCTACACACTATGATTTACCATTTTCTGGCTTTGGAAGAACCTCTGAAGCTGCACAAATCAATGGAAAAACTCCTACAGACAGCTGTGGGCAACAAACACATTCATCAGTCTCCACGTGCATCTCTGTGAACTTTACCCTGACTGAGAGTTCTCGAGTGTTTATTAATGTAATTGAGCATTTTAGTTTTTCCTCACACTGCCACATAAAATAAACAAGCTAATTCGTGTTTTAATCTCAGCAAATGTTAGCCTACTTGCTAATACAGGACTTTTCATTGTGATGCGTTGCGACACTTCCATGCAGGTTAAGGGTTTACTCAGAGGGCAAACATAGATGAGCTAGTGGGAAAGCTTTAACTGATGACAGACAAAGCAGCTTTTTATTAGCCATGAAAGTAAAAAAAAAAATGTTATCATTTGTGTCATCTGTGAAGGAATTTGTCCATGAACCTGTGCTAAACATGCTGAGCCTCAAGTAGAATAATCTATGTTTCTGTTCAATGTAATACCGAGTGAACTCCTGGTGTAATGATGCTTTGGTAATACCGGTAGTTAACATGTATGAGAGCGTCAGTAGTGAAGCTGAGTAGATGGAAAAGAAACAGACTCTTAAATACTCCCAAATAAAAAAAACCCCAATGGTAAATGTGTATGTCTTCATAATCTTGTTTGTCTAATAATTTACTCATAAAAGTGGAAACATTCACATGTTATTCTTCCCCTTTTCCTATTCTGGTTTGCATGAAAGGCAAGTACACCCAGGACAGGTCACCAGTCTGTCGCTGTCACATCTACAACTTTAACCCTATAAACAAACACGCTAGGCTAAACAAGGTCCCTCATCTCTAACTACCTCATTGGCTTCATATATAATTTCCCCTCTTTAACCACTGTATTTGGAGAAGTCTCACTATTTTGGAGAGAACTGTGACAAAAGTCGAGCACGATGGCGCCTTTAGGAGCGCAGTGACCTGCCTTCTATTTGCTGCTGTTTGTTTTGGCTCTATGATGCGCGTCAAGGACACCCGAGCTGCTTGTTGATAGTGCACACACATGCTCCTGTCTACTCTCCTTATCTGAAGAGGCGACTTTTAAGAAGGGTATGCGGAAGTCTATGTGACATTAGAACTACACAAAGGGAGGACCATGCCTACTTGAACAATGCGTCTCCCATTTCTTTCCACCATAAGCGTATCTGTGTGTGACTCGTTTCAACCCCATCTCCTGAACAATCATAATGCCACGGACCCTTCGGCATCATTGAAAAGAGGCTTGCATCTTTAGCTTCATCAGACAACTCCTTTACATGTCTCTATGATGACGCTCTCTTGCGTGGCTTACACAAGCAAAACTAATTAAATTTCCACTGCGGCGCTGGTGTTAAATTGCTTCATGATGAGCACACTGAGTATACAGTACCCCCCCAGCGGTTGTCAAAGCTGAGGCAGTCGTTTGACCTTCCTGGAAAGTGACGCCATTGCCTCGAGTCTTTACTTACCTGTCAGGAAGATCAGCCCATGACACGCTCCCACAATCCCCTGCATTGTTTGAGTCAGCGTGCGTTAGTTGCTCTTTAACAGCCTTTCCTCTTGACACAGTGGTGCAACTGTAGATAACAAGAGCAGGGTGGGGGTGCTCGCTGGCGACAAGTGGAGACACATGTGACAGATGGCTTCGGGAGAGAGTTTATCTGAACTGACGTTTTGAATGGATTGATTCAGCGTAATTAGATTATTAATAAAGATTGGAATGTGAGGAAACGGCTGGTTATGCTCGAAGATCAGGATCGAACTGCATCTTTAAACTTTACTGACGTGGGCCCTAATGATTAATGGCTGAGGCTAAATATTATCTAAGACCAGTAAACAAGTCTTAACAATTCAAACCCACAGTGAGGAGCATTTATGCTGCAAGAATGAACGGGGAAGAAGAAGAAGAAGAAGAAGAAGGAAAGGGCTTTGCTTATGTGGCGTTTTCAGTCTTTGACTCGTATGTTTCACGTCTGACTTTGTCAGGCTTGTTTACGAAAAAGAAAAAAAAGAAGAGGCTTGAATTACCCACTTTAAATTTATACGGTGACAATTATATTCCTCTGAGTAAACATCCAAACAAACAAACACATACTTTCCGTCTTCTCCATCATAACCCCAAATTATGTCAAGGTCCCACTTTGCAAGCAGGAAGCGGAGCGCTGTCATGATTTACAGTGAGGTTTTTCCCTCCTTGCGAGTATAGCTGCAGGTCATTGCACTCCCTCCTGTTCCTTGACTGTTAAAGTAAACCTGCAAGTTAGCCACATTACATCACATGCAGGATGGGCTTTCCACCTTCCCTTTGGTGTGTTTGCACAAAGTGGAGCGTCAGGGTCGTTTACACAGACAACGGCAACGCACGTCGGATGAAGGAGCACCAAGCACTGGCGTTAAATGTTTGGTATTGACCCCCTTTAACTGCTCTTATTACATGTTGGCAATACAAACAGTTCAGGACTCAGCTCTGGCTAGACAGACAAGACGGTGTTAATGAGCCATATTACACAGACTATCTCACGAGTGTGCAGGGGTAATGTGAAGCTACTTCACCCTTGCTTGCCTCAAACACACCTCATGTGTTTCCCCTGGTATGTTTGCATTTCAGTTACAGCCTCGAATTACATCACCGCAGCTGGGGTCTGATAAGAACCGGTGTGTAATCATTGCTTTATGAGCTGTGTCTAAAGTAATGCAGTGACATAGTTGCTGGGAAATGT